TCTGTTTATCTGTTTCGTTCTCATTGCAAAACCATCTCTCTCTCCCTCTGTAAAACTACATGGTCGAATTCAGATCTCCCAGTAAGATTACAACCCAGTCACAGCATAGACGTGCTCGCATAATCAAAACCGTAAACATATCACATCTTTACGACAAAACAATGCTGCACAAGGGTGGTTAAGTGTACTTTTGGATTCAGATGAAAGTTTGGCTTTTGACATCATGATTTCTCTGTACTGCTCTCCTCAAGTCGAGACATGACTTCTGAGGAATTGTCCATGCGTAACTCTCAGTTGAAATGCAGAACATTTCTTACATAAGCTGTGAGAAAACAATATGTAGAAAATCAGAAATGGTACTGGCAATTTTCTGCCAATGAATTCATATTAGCATATTTCATGTTGATATTTATATATTGATCAAATAAAATAAAATATATTATAGTACACTAAAATAAAATATACTTTTTCAAATATTACCTAAGTGATAATTAAAAAAACAAGGAAGTTTTCACAGTGTTTCCTATAATATTTTTTCTTCTGGAAAACATTTTTAAGCAGTTTTTAAAACTATTTTAGAGTCAGAATTATTAGCCCCCCCTGTTTATTTTCTTCCCCAATTTCTGTTTAACGGCAAGACGATTTCTTCAACACATTTCTAAACATATTAGTTTTAATAACTCATTTCTAATAACTGCTTTATTGGATCTTTGCCATGATGACAGTAAATAATATTTGACAGGATATTTTTCAAGACACTTATATACAGCTTAAAGTGACATTTAAAGGCTTAACTGGGTTAATTAAGTTAATTAGACAGGACAGAGTAATTAGGCAGGTTATTTTATAACAATAGTTTGTTCTGTAGACTATCGAAAAAAAAAAATATATAGCCTAAAGGGGCTTATAATTTTGACCTTAAAATGTTTTTAAAAAATTAAAACCTGCTTTTATCCAAGGCGAAATAAACAGATAAGACTTTATCTAGAAGAAAAAATATTATCAGACATACTGTGAACATTTTCTTGGTCTGTTAAACATAATTTGGTAAATATTTAAAAAAGAAAAACAATACAAAGGAGGGCTAATAATTTTGACTTCTGACTTTTTTCTGAAAACTGTATATTTTTGACCACTACATTAAATATCTTAATTTGCATAGTTAGTCTTAAAGTTATAATAGTTAAATAAAGCATATTAAGCTAAATAGTATCTCACAAAATAACTAGAAAAATATTATGCAATTTCACAAAATAAATTAGTTATTAGAAAATGTTAAGTAAACTATTGTTTAAAAGTTATGTTGAGAAAAAAAAATTCTCTATGTTAAGCAAAAAAAAAAAAAAAAAAGAATTACAATTTCTCAGGTGAGCTAATAATTTTGACTTCAACTATTTACACACAGACAGACCCCAAGGGATGCTCAAGCACTGGTCATGTATTTAATTATAATTAATGTTAGCCTTTTTAAATAAGATAAAGTTTTACACGATAAGAAAAAGGCAAAATGTGTTTTTTAAGTAGCAAAAATGTCATGCTCAGGACACCACCTTCACTTTAATTGGGGCAAGGAAAAACCCCGCACATACTACTCAGCATAATTGAGTACTCCTCATTTTGAAAATGAATATTAAAATAGGCAATGTATTTTGATGCATTTAAACAAAACAGATTTATTAAACAGATACACTTATTAAAATGATATTTCAGTCACCAAACATATTTAGAAACTGAAAGAAAATACTATTAAATTCAAGCTAAATATCGCTAAAATAATTTTACAACATACAAAATTTAAACTAAATTTTTCTTTTTTTTTTCTTTTTTGCTTTTTCCTTTTTTATGTATTTAACATTTTTCTATAACATATCAATTTTGGTGTTCTAGTTTTTGGACTGCTATCATAAATTATCTTCTTAGATAAGCTCCAGATTTGGCTTCTGTACTGACTAATCTAATGTATATGGACAAAAACAATACTGCATAGCTTTCTTTTAAAAAATATGAATTCAAAAAGGATTTGTGAGGGGTGTACTCAAATATGTTTAAATATACTCAAATATACACTGTATGCCATTAATAAGTCATTTAGTGGTTTATATAACAAAAAACATATATTTTAGGCCATATTCAGAACAGGTATCATTTTAATGACATATCAAAGACAATTTCAAAATTAAAGTCTAACCACAAAATACTAATTGCAAATGTTTATGCTTCACTTTCATTTAAACCATTAAGTTTTGCCCATTTGTCAGCAAGAAGTCTTTAATAAATAAAATTACGAAAAAATTTAGTATGATCGCATTTTGTTTTATATAATTCAGTCAGTACAGGTAAGAATACTCAACTATTTCTGTTACACTGAATGACAGTGAAACCTATATTTTGATTTGTATCTTCACAAATGTTCGCAAGAGATATTTGACCTGCATTTAATATGCTTTCCATGTATGTAATAAAAACACATTTGTTAGCAGACTAGTTCATCATTTTAACTATAAACAATAAAAAAAATTATAGATAAAAATGGACAACTTTAATATATATATATATATTATTAATTGAAACCAAATCATGTTTGTGTAATGCAAATTATAAAATAAAAAAATTTAACATAAAATAATAAATAAAGCGTTCACATTTGCCAACTTTTAACATGCATGCCAACTTTAAACCATTAACATGTATTTATTCATAAATGAAAATGTCCTATCCAAATGGACGAAGGAAATAAATCCTCACACTGCAACAGGGTATTCAACCTGTATTTGACACAAACACAGCGGAACAGCGCCGCCTGTTGGTGAGCACGAGACTGACCTATATGACCCGATGCGGATGCCAAGCAGACAAGAGTTTAAACTACTAAATTATTTTTTTCAGGCTGAAAAAATTCAGTCGACTTCTGCTCATCAATTGGTATTTTATTTATATATTTAATAACAAACGTAGTCCTTTGTTTTAAATACAACATGCCATCGTTAATGAAGCTAATTTATCAGCCTTGTTAGGATTGACTGTACACTATTAAAACTCGTGCAGCCATGATACCTCACACCTCTTCATCGGTCATGGCCGCTGCCACCTGTGTGAGACTCACGTGGCAGGGTTGCCATGTCAACAGCGCTCACCTAGAATGCTCCCAGATTAATATGCAGGCCAAGAGATACTGGATCACCTTTGCGACTACATTTCAACCCTAATTAAACAACGTTTAGAGTGATTATGAGTGCTGTTTTTTACTACCTAATTAACCAAGAGCATACATGGAATTATCTCATTTTAAATATTAAGATAGATAAAAATGTGATTGAATACTACAGCGACAAATACCATCACTTCCCCTTTATAAAAAAATATTTTAAACATAAAAATAGATGCTGCTGTCAACATTATCTGGTGCTTGAATGAAATGAACTGAATGACCAATCCCTGAAGAAATGAAGCCAGACCACTGATGTCTTACTGTATTTAGCAGACCTTGAAGCCATTGTCAAAGCACAGATGATGCATATAACAGCTATATTACTATTCTGGGAAATCCAATCAGTGTTGTCTGTTTTGCTGCTTTGGGCCTGTGGACATTTTTGGCTCCTGTGGAGTGGTTCTGGCTTAACTCATTTCCTACAAACGCGAAGGAGTTTCTAATCTAAATAGGCAGACATGTGGTCAATTGTACATGCAGCCTGGCAGAAATAAATAGATATTAACACTTGTTTTTCATTTTGATTGAATAAAGTCCATACAATAGTCTTCTATGTGAATAAATTTCACACTTAGGTCATTTCAAAATTAATATTATGTTTAGAACAGAGATTTGGCTAATGAATACTTTTTGTAGGTTAACAGGCCTTGGTACTTCTTTCTTTTCATTGTCTTAGAAGGGGGCATTTCAATTTTCCATTTAATCTGGTTTGGGACAGCATAAATTGATGATGACAAGCTTTCCTATATTTGTTGAACTATTTCTGAACGTATCCGGCTTAAATTAGTTTTAGTGGTTTGACATCTACTGGCCAAATTCAATACTTGAATAAACAGAGTGAATATGAGGGAGCAGAGCAAGCACTCTCAGTCATTTGAACTGAAAATTTTCCACTGGGAGAATGATACCAACTCAGCTTTGTACCTCAATCTTCTCATCTCAGGGTCAGTTTTAGCACGTTCCCTCCAAGCATGAAGAAGCAGTGAAAGCTGCAAATGGGAATGAGGTATTTTCAGCCTAGGTACGTATGTCACCTACCTGACAGAATTCTTTTTGACAGAGAGGTGTTTGTGCATTGATGGTGCAAAACTATTGCAGATTAAACTATAACAGAATAAAATACAAGAGCAAAGTTGGAGTGAAACTTTGCAATTTGTTTTTTTTTTAGAGAAAGTCTGGTGGAAAGGTACATTTGGTGCGTTTAAAAACAGCAGGGTAAAGGATCAGGTTATGCCTGTTAATAAGAAAAAGACGACAACGTGGTCTATATTCCAGGCACATTTGTTTCCCAGCAAGCATTTATTGTTTTTAAAAGAGGTCTAATAGATGTTTAAGAATAGGCGAAATCAAGACTAGTCATTCAATAAACACAAATTAATAACTACACATATAAAGTCTACTTGACAACTAGTCTAATTTTGGGTTATTCTTAGATATCAATTAGATTTTCACTGACAGCCCATGTTTAGCCTTGTTTTAGCCAAGCTGGCTACGTTTTGACGTCTATTAGACATCTATAAAACACAAAACTATTTGCTGGGTTATGCTTGCAAGGACATTTTACGCAAACAACAAAGATTTGAACAACACACTCGCTAGCTGATTAACAAGTTTTCTGCAATGGGATCACATTTAAAATCAGTACCCACTCATTCTACCTAATCCCTAAGGTTCAGTGTTGTAAAAACAAATGCATTTTAATTTGCAGTTAAGAATGAAGAAGGCTAACAGATTGTAATCTCAAACAAATTGTTCTCAAATCTTGCAATGGTGACTTGATTGATTATCTTACCTTTTTTTCTGAATCTTTAGCTCTTCTGACATTGTTCGATTGTTGTGAATGCTCTCGTAGGTTCTTCTCCCCAAACAGCTTCTTAGCCCACTCATCCTTCTGTGCATGAAGCCGGTGAGGCTGTGAGGCGATTTCGCCTGCAGCACGGTACCGGTCAGCTGGAATCTTGCTCATCGGTGGTGGCAGGGTGCTACAGTTAGCACTGGACCATCCGTCTGTGGACTCTGCATAAGACTCCTGATCACTGCTGTGTCCCTGACGCCAATCCCTCAGGACGTGAACTGGCAGCCAGCGCTGGCCTGATGCCCCTGCCGCTTTCTTGCCATGAGCAGAATAGTGTGAGCGCGAAGGAAGGCCTGACACATCCAGCCGTGAGGAGGAGTTTAGATGCCTGCCAGAAAGCAGAGGTGGGTCTCCATGGGAATGTGGATGGGGCTGAGGGTGATCCACAAACTGCTCATGCCGAAATCCGTTACGATGTGAGATCGGTGGCGGAGGAGGTGGTGGCGGAAGACCTCCTATGGCACCCTGGCAAAAAGATCCCATAGGGTTTTCCCAAGGTCCTGTAGGAACATGTCGACTAGGATTTGCACCCAAGTCCACCAAGAGGACTCGGTTGTTCTTTTCCTCTGGCAAGAAGTTCCCAATGCCGCTGTCACTGTTGCTGCTTGTGCTGTTGTTCTGCTGAGCATCTAAGTCACCATCAAGGAAAGCTCGAGCTCGCATACCCTCTATGGATTCTCCCATGTCACGATACAGAACAGACACAAACTGTAGAAGTGGCTGAGAAGTCGGTGGGAACTCCAAGCAGCCACCAGTATCTGGGTCTGGAGTGCAGTCAAAGCCAAAGCGTCGGGCAATACCCTGGTGGATTTTATGATGACAGAGTTCCGGGTCTACAATGAAGACATGACAAGATGTCCGTAAGCCTTGCTCCTCCTCACCATGCCTATACATGCGGTGGTCATTTGTTGCTTGCATGGTGACAAGGCCAAAAAAGCGGCGGTCGTCTGGACACACAGCACTGAAGGCTAACTTCTCTGCAGGGTAAGTTGCTAGAACAGCACCTCGGTCATTGCATAGTTGCACACAATCATGCATGACTTTAAGCAAAACCAACGAGTGCACTTTTTGTTCGGCACGTAGACGTCGCATACAGCCACGTATTGCCTGCAGGCTGTCACTTTCTAAATTGGCACTTGTTGAAGCTAATTCAATAGATCCCAAGTAACCCACAATCATCCCAACATTGAGTATTCCTGCAGAGTCTGCAGTTTGCAACAGGGCAAATTCATCTTGCGGTTCAAACATATCAACAAACACAGAGTCGTCATTGAGCACTTTGGCCATCTCTTCCTCAGTGAGCAAGTTGGGATCACTTTTTTGGGTGTTGACGCTCACATAAGGGAATTCTGGCTCTGAGACAGCCCTTGGTTTGGAAGCAGAGGCACAAGCAACTGCTCTTTCTGAGCTGCTGGATGAGTGGCTCGAATTTTCAAAGATCATGTTGAAGATCCCACCAGACTGCATCTCTGCTACAACACGTTCTGCACGGTTTATGCCTAGTGTCTTTGAGTCCATCTTTGGCCTCAGCCAGTGGCTCTTGTGGTCATGGAACTCCAGTTCTTCATCACTTGAACACGAATCAACGTGGCCGTTTTTATGACTGCCTTCGGCAATGACTAAGTGTAGGACACCTGTGCAGCGGCCAATCAGCTTAACAACATCCTCATGAGAAGCTTTGGACACATTAATGTCATTCACACTCAGGATCTGATCTCCAGAGCGAAGGCCCACATAATCAGCTGGACTACCCTTAAGGATGCAATTCAGAACACATGGAGACTGACCAGAGAGTGTGAAGCCATAGCCTGTTCTCCCCCTTGCAACCTCCACTCCTCTAATGCGAGCAGATGGCTGGGCATTTACACGCCTCCTGCCTTGTTCTGATTGCCTGAACATCCTTCTTTGGCTCTCTGTTTAGCTCTTTTTTGAAACAGGCTTCACAAATACAGAGATGGAGAGCTTAATGATATCATCCTTTCAGTTCCAGAGCTCCAGCCTAAGGAACTAACATGGTGAATGCTTGAATATTCACAGTACACCTTTACAAGAAAAAAGGAAGAAAGGTTTTGGATTAACTAATGCACAGACATATTAGCGACAAATTTAAACACAAAGAAAAATTTATGATGTAACACTTTCAGTACACGTTTACAAGAAAAAAGGAGAATAGTTTTGATTAACTAATCCACAGGCAAATAACTACAAATTTAAGGACAACCAAAATTCTATGATTTAATAATTTTAGTATTAGGACTGGGCGATAAAAACGATATCGGTATTTATTGACCGAACACTACTGTCAATATTGATAAAAAAAATATTTGATATGTAGTTTTGTTATGAAGCACCATAGTTTTATTTAAATGTGGCTTAAGGTTTAAGTTTGTAATGTCATTTCCAATGGAGGCGTGCAACTTGCATGACTCGAAATGCACAAACAACTACAGAATGCACATGTTGTGCAAGTATGCATTTTCCAAGCCCCTAGTTGAAAACATCGGAACTTTTTCGAATGCGTCAAGTGGACCGTGATTTATGCAAGTACAACTAACCAAATCTACCAATCTGCTTCACAGTTTGTATGGAATATACACACTTTAGCAGTAATGGTAAATGTTAGACTAATTACCTAAGAAAAACACAGCACATCCAAACACTGCAGTGCTTTTTACTTTTCTCCATAAACCTGTCATCCTCTGAGAAAACGATTGATGGTCGCTTGGTTAAGAGAGACGCCAGAGGAGCCCATTGTAATGGTCAAGGAAACCACATGCTCGTGCTTGCCACTTCAGGTCAGAATACCAACACATGTGAAAATGAGTGCCGTGGCTAGCAGCAGTGTGGGGATTGTAAATAAAAAAGGATGTAAGGATGTCGTCAGAGTGACTTTTTGGTTTCTTTTTTTGTGGACCCCAGCCATTAGCACCCCAACTGAAAGAATTTTTGGCATGGGGTAATGTAGTCATTTAACTTCACAATTTGTTATGTTGCAATATGTATTTGAATAATATATAAAAGTTTATTTTGTTATAAAGAGATCAGATATTTAGTTTAAATATTTTTGCTTTTGACTATTAAAACTATTTGACTCAGTAATGTGGGTAAATTAAAATAAAGTTTATAAATAGAAAAATCCTAACAGTTCCTAAACGAATTGGCAAAAAAATATTCAAATTATCGACAGCGAATGATAAACATGAGATAGTGATATTTTTTTGCAATATCACCCAGCCCTATTTAGTAGTTTATTACACCTTATTTTATTACTTTAAATATAGTTTCATGCAAATAATATATGAAATCAATGTGACAACAGTGATTAGATTTCCAAATAATTCATGAAATAAAGAGCTTATCAAGTTTATTAGACCAGTTTTAGTAAAATGTATATAAAAATGTTTAGAAGCATGTAGCAAACTGAAATAACTGTAAAATGAATTTCCATCTTTTAATAAATGGCCATAACTACTATTTTCACACAAAAACATTAATTTCCAAAAATCATGAATGACAACAATTAGATTTCAGTATTAGACATATTACTGTTGCTAAAGAGCTCACATATATACTGTCGAGTTAACTATAAAAGAAACAAAAATTATTTTGGTATCCAGAAAATACAGTTAGTTTAGGCCAGCTGTGGTCTGGTTAATAATTTTGTTACACACATATTGAGACGTTATGTTTCCCAATATGTTTTTGACACCTGAATATCCTCTTTTGTCACTGACTACCATAACTTGGGTTAATTACAATGTGTGATAACATTACAACATTTTGGCACCTGAGCAGATTAAACAACACGCGCTTTTGTGGACCATTAACGTGCCGCGCGATTTTAAAAGTTACTGAAGAGTGAGATAAGTTGGGTGGAGTAAGCATTTTATAGAAACGGACAGAATATATAAACTCACATATTTATCAGTGCTTGTCATCGATTATTTGTCCTTATTCTTCTCATACAGATGCCAAGAAGACGAGAAGACTCATCCGCTCTTGCTACCCCTCCCGCCTTCTTTTTCCCTATTGTTGGAATGCCCACGCGTCAACGTGTGTAACCATGACAATTGAACTGTCAATAGCCATTTCCCCTCGTTCATTGGTTACCACAGCTGTCAGTCATCTTCACATCGACCCAAAAACCCAGTTTGACCAAGACACGACAACTAACCACAAAAAGTTATGCTACAGGTGTCAAAAACATCAAGAGCGAAAAAAAAACTAAAAGTAAAGTAAGATAACGTAAATATCTTCGCAGTCTTCACCGTACTCGTGAATTTAATATTTTATAACGGATGTGTGTCGAGCTGCTTCGGTATTGGTTTTCGCGAAGAACAGCTGGCCAGTGAGTAACTAACGGTATTAAATTATCGGCATCAGTCTGTAGATACTGACTGAAGTAACATATATTCACACAACACTTAATTATAAGATATAAAACGACAACTTCATATAGATAAACATAATATCAAATAACAAAATCATTTACCTATAGGCCGAAAGTTCTAATACCCGCAAAGGCACAAGAAATTCCCATGGCTACATTGCTAACATTAGCCGCCACTTCCCAAAAACTTTCCTGTGAGGAAGAAATAAGACATTTCGAGCATTACAATAGAGAAAATCTTAGATAGTTATAGATTGTTATGCGTTAAGTAGTTTGGTGCTCTTACTTGTGACGGATGTGTCCAAACGTGATGTGAAGTTTAATGACATGGTAACCTTAGTGCTGCATAAGGAGTAAACAAAAGGAGAGGGCAGCTGGTGTGTGGACAGCAGCAGCAGGAGGAGGAGGAATCTACATCTCAGGGAGGTTTTTCTTCTTAAAGGACAGCACCAGTATATGACTTTTCTTAACACGACAATGGATTTTGATATATAATTTAGTTAATCCCCAAAATTTTATATAAAAATAGAATGATGAAGTAAAAGTACCAGCCAAGTTCACACTAGATACACCGTTTTAAGTAATTTAAAATGTCCTATTACTTTGAAGTGTAAAATAATATTTTAAGAAAGCAAAGACGTTTTTGTAATTAAGAAATATTAATGTTTCAATATATTTGTAATAAATAATATTATTGATTCTCTTTTATTTGCTAAATAGCTTTTTTAATGGATTTTTAATATTTACATTATATAGATTACTATAAATCTAATCAGGAATGTGGCATTCCTGGATCTGATATTTATTTATTACACAGTATGAAAATTGGAGCTGTCGCCTCACAGCAAGGTCACTGGTTAGAACCTCGGCTCAGTTGGCGTTTCTGTGTGGAGTTTGCATGTTCTCCCTGCGTTCGCGTGGATTTCCTCCGCATGCTCCCGTTTCTCCCACAGTCCAAAGACATGCGGTACAGGTGAACTGTATAGGCTAAATTGTCCGTAGTGTATGAGTGTGTGTGTGTGAATGTGTGTCTGAGTGTTTCCCAGAGATGGGTTGCGGCTGGAAGGGCATCCGCGGAGTAAAAACGTGCTGGATAAATTGGCGGTTCATTCCGCTGTGGCAACCCCGGATTAATAAAGGGAGTAAGTTGACAAGAAAATTAATGAATGAATGAAGATTGGAGAAACCATATTATTATTATTAATATATATATATATATATATATATATATATATATATATATATATATATATATATATATATATATATATATATATATATAGTCTTAAAATGGAATTGATTATTAAAGTCCTATTAAGCTTATATTACTGGTCAGACACTGTGTCTGCTGAGTCCACATAAATGTAATTATTCTATACTTACAAAAATTCTATACATATACAATACTAATGCTTGTACAAACAAAAATGGGCAATTAATTGTTTCATCACTAACAAACACAGACACACAATTCATTCATTCAATTTGCCCAAAGGAAGCATTTTTAAACTCCTAAATAAAATCCAATCTAAAAAAGAACAGACAAAAAGGACACATATATTTATACATGTAAATATATACATGTATAAAAAAAAGGAAAAATCACAATATTGCAGGGCTCTACAACATTCATCGAATCATTTGAAGACCAAATTATTAGCTATAATATTTAAGTTCTGACATGACAATCGATTTGGATTTGAATACATGATAAAACATCAAAACAAAAAACAATGCCTCTCCTCTCCTTTTCTTTTTTTTTTCTTTTTTAAATTGGCTATTCTATATTCTATATACATACAGTGCTCAGCATACATTAGTACACCCCTTACAAATCTATCTTTTAAATTCATATTTTAATAGGAAACTATACAATATTGTATTTGTGCATATACATTAATCAGTACTGAAGCCAAATCTGGAGCTTATTTAAGAAAATAACCTACGATAACAAAAAAAAACTAGTACACCCAAATTTATATCTTCTACAAAAATATTAAACACAAGTTTAATAAAGAGGAAAAATCAAGAAAAAAAAGGAAAAATTTTGTAGGCTGTAATTTATTTTTGCAATATTTAGCTTGAATTTAATTGTACTATCTCTCAACTTCTAAATATGTTTGGTGACCAAAATATTATTTTAATAAATATATCTGTTTAATAAATCTGTTTTGTTTAAATGAAACAAGATACATTCATTAAATCATTTTATTTTCGGCTTAGTCCCTTTATTAATCTGGGGTCGCTACAGAGAAATGAACAACCAACTTATCTAGCACATTTTTACGCAGCAGATGCCCTTCCAGCCGCAACCCATCACTGGGAAACAACCATTCACACACATTCACTACGGACAATTTAGCTTACCCAATTCACCTGTACCGCATGTCTTTGGACTTTGGACTCGCATGTCTTTGGACAGCACTACCTACTGCGCCACCGCGTCACCCAACAAGAAACATTGTCTATATTAATATTCATTTTCAAAATGGAGTGTACTCAGTTATTCTGAGCACTGTGTAAATATATAATAAAATGTCAAGTGGATCACTAGAGCCCTGCAATATGTGTTAAACAATAATAATAAATAATACAGTTATCAAATTGAATATTTTGCATATTTTATTAATTTCTATATTATAGTTTCTTCATGATTTATGACGTTAAAACAATCCATCAAAATAAATACATCAATTTCTTGTTTTTTTTACCAGCCATAGTTTGCAGAAGTGCGCTAAATAAATAACAATGGGAAAAAGATTCTTTTTCAAAACTAAAAAAAGGCTCCGGTGCTAGACCATCATGGCATCATACTGTGATACTTATGGGATATGCGCCTGCAATCCAGCGCTCTCAGAAAATACAAGTTGAAGTAAACACTAGTCCGAGAACAGGATCACATCTTTTGTAAAAGGGGAAACAGATAAATAGTGGATGATGCCCACCTGAGATGCATTAAACCAGTCAGATTCTCCACTCGTGTTCTCAAATGAATCTTCATAAGCAAACAATGTCAAGAAGAATATACGACACTGTCAGTAATAGGCACACTATTAACATTACAATTTTCTGCAGTACTTTCACATTTGGTCCAAATATATTGGTGGTCTCTGTGAAAGTCATTCCAACTGTATGTGACCACAAGAGACGTCAACAAAGTTCTTTAAAGCCACTGTTAAATCATCGTTTCGAATGCTTCTATAATCTAGTGCATAATCTTTATGCGTGACCAATAATCATCTAAAATTAATTTCAGAGAAGTAAAGGCTGAGCAGTGAAAATATCAAGTATCAATTACTATTTACATATTTCACTTCACTAAGACGAATCAGAGTAAACAGATATCTAATGGACATGACAAGCTAATCTTATCCTGGTATTGAACTAGCAAGCATGCCGTAAGTTGTGTGAATTTGCCAAATTCATCTGTCATTATTGGTAGTTACAATTATACGATGTCCATGTAGACTGAGTCGACTAACAATCACAAGCCACTCTGTTTCAAATGTTGTCGTGACATCACATAAAATACTGACAGCAGACTAAAGCATGCTAAAGTTTACATACATGACATATTCAGCTTGTCAGCTTGGATTATATTTACAGTGAACGCTCTTGAGCTACCCGAGACAGAGAAGTGATTGTTTTTATAGTCCATGTTTATCAAAAGTGAAAGAAAGGTTGGGTTACTGCGCAGCTTCGCTTGCAATGCCACCTCATGTCCACCGATAGATGTTGTCATGCACCACAGTTTATTCGTTTAATCACAAATATTATTTCTTTTACACAAATTGTACATTGATGTAAACACTCTATAGATTAAAATACATAATTCCAGTCATTACACTAGATCAATAGTCATATCTCACGTCCTGAGCTTTTAAAAGAAACCGAACAAAGAACTGAAGATGTGTTCCGAGGGGCACAGTATGAAGATTGGAGAAACCATCGATTAAAAACGTCTAACTGCTATGGCTATTTCAAAGTCCATACAAAAGGACTTTAGAGATTCTGTTTTTGATTCTCCATCTTAAAAAAAAATTAAAACAACAAATATAGACAACTTAATTTTAAGAGGAAAAATAAACTTTGTTTCAGGTAATTCACCCTGCTTAGTACAGTAAGTCAAACGCATTTTACATTTAAATACACAAAAATTTAATCTTACCAATACTTTTCTGCATTAGAGGGGATTTACAAATTCAATTTACAATCCTTTTTCACTTCAAGTGTCAGCAAACGCAGAGCAAAGCAATGTGTCGCCCATGCAAAAGGAATGACTTCAAACTGAGGGTCCTGGAAGTGTAGACAGTAGGGCAGAAATGGCTGTTGTACTGATCTTAGCGAAATCGGATGACAAGTAACATGGAGTTACTCTATTTCTGAGGACTAAAGTATCTAATGCTGTATCTGCGGAAGTCCAAAAGCGCAGGACACTTTTAACTAGCGTCTGTATGATGTTTTTAAGAAATGTCAATATCTTCTTTAATCAGATTGGTTACAGCTGAAAATTCACTGCATTACATTTCTAAAGATGGAGACTCTGCAGTTTAGCCACAGTTTAACATTCTCTGCTACCACATGAAGAGAATTTATACACTTAAAACATCCATATAGACTGTGTGAATGACTTGGGACGCATGTCCACAGAAGCGTTTTTGTGCTGCAGAAACACGAGCGATGTTCTAAAAACGCCCATCGCTTCTCTGACTGTTGAAAGTTTTGAAAAACAATGAGCGTAAAACATACACTCATTGCATGCCTATCCTGTACTTAACTCAGCTCAGGAAAAACGCTTCAGTGGCCAGGTGCACATACTGTGATAGCAGTTGAATATTCTGAATGTAGTGCTGCTTTTCTTATATTTTTAATTACAGATAAATGATGTTCATTGGTGCGTTGTGGCCACAGACTAGTGAAAGTGCAGTTTTGCTTGGATTGGTCCCACTGTCTCTAATAACTATGAACTATTTGGAGCAATCTCGGAGAGTATCATAGCAACCGATTCCACTCTGTAAATCCAATCCAAAGTCTGTCATGCATCCTGGTGAGTGTATGTCTTCTGCTTGGGTGTTATATTACCTTCATTTTGATGCTTAATTTGCCATGGTGATCCTACTGATCTTTTTTTTTTTTTTTGGTCTGTTCTATAGAGACGTGTCTTGGTGAATGCTCTGCAAACAGCACAGTAGTTGGTAATACGGACTACCAGGGGAAGCCACCATCTCAAAGACAGACTGGAAGGCCCTGCGGTCTAACTCCTCATCGATCTGATGTCGGTAGAAGTCCATAGCGACCAAGCAAAAGAGGCTAATGTCCACCGTGTCAGATTTCCCCATGCGGCTGATGACATGAGGCAGGCTACAGCGGAAGAAACAAGTTAAGGAAAACGTGGAGGAAGAGGAAATGGAAAAGCATGAAGTGTGCTGTTACCAGTGCAAGGTAGGGGTGTAACAGTAGATTAATTCATACATTTTTGGTGCAGGCTTTTTGGGTATCATATGCATGTTTAATGCTATTTCACACCTGTAGATTGACGGTTTTGTTCCGAAACAGAGAATAAAATTGTTACAATGTTGCACTTTGTTCATGGTATGGTTCGCTTTCACTCTGCAAAGTTTCTAAAAGGACCAAAATAGCAAGTCACGTGCAAGTAAACTCTCTCACTTAGCTGTCATGCGTCCTTATTTAATCTGTGACAATAAACAATAAGACATTATAAGCAAAAAGCTGCGGTTTAATTTGGAACGGTGACACCCACAAACATACACCAAATATAAATGTAGATTTTCTAATACATAGCCGTTGGCTAAAATTATGCATTACAGGCTTTATATTCTAGAGAGAAATAACAGATAAACCAAGACTGCAGTTGAGTTAATTTTTCTAATGGATAAACTGCTCTCATTAATAGTTCAGCATGCTTTCACTTTCATAATTGACATGAAACGCACATAAACTGGTATAAATGATGACATCCTGCCCTACTCATAATGCTCTCTTCATATAGCCGTATATGCTTATTACATAACCATAATACACTGAGATATTTCCTGGTTTATTAGTCCGTTGGATCGTATTGCTTTCTCACTACAATTGATCCTCTCCAGAGTTCGTTTCAATCGAGCCAAAACCACCCCATTCAGGCGATTGTTTTGGCGAGGATCCGAGCGCTATTACTGGGTTCAAATATGCCAAACGAATTATGCTAACTGGGGAAACGCACCAGGTTCTGAAACTAAAGTCTAGGTGTGAAAGCACCCTAGGACACACCTCCTGTCCTAAAAGTGCAAAAAGCCTTGTTTTGTTAATTTTGATGCTTTACTTTAGAATCTTTTCAATTCTGTCAAATTTATTAGGGACAATCAAACAATAAATACTGTTTTGACATGCTTTGATGTGGCATGTCAGATCGCTATATTGATGCCCGATTTACAAATGGCAGCAGAATGCAAGTCAATCATTACTTCCTCACTACTAATTATAGAGTAAAAAAATGCACATCTCTCAAATTTTTTTTAACTCTATTAGCCTATTTGTTAATAAGGCTTTATTACTGTTATTGATGCCATAGTTATTAGATGTATAACTTTGAAGACATATGGAATAATGTGTAAAAAAAAAAGTACAACTTCTATTTTATAATTAGATTTAAATGTAAAAACTGCCTTTTGAGCAATTTACCTGTTAGCATAAAACAGTTTGCAGAGTGTTTATTTTATTCAAATATAAAAGTAAATAATTGATTAATATGGCCTTTGTTATTAATTCCCTTTATCATTATATTAATGTAAAAAATAATAGTGCAGCTTCATCTATACTTTACAGCACAGGTGTCAAACTCAGTTCCTAAAGGGCTGCAGCTCTGCACAGTTTAGTTCCAACCCTAATTAAACACACCTGATAAAACTAATTGAGTCCTTCAGGCTTGTTTGAAACCTACAGGTAAGTGTGTTGGAGCAGGGTTGGAACTAAACTGTGCAGGGCTTCAGCCCTTTTGGAACTGAGTTTGACACCCCTGCTTTACAGCATTAGCTGTAATAGGTCAAGAATTTAGTTTACAACTGAATTCATATAAAGACAATATCTTCAGTAAACCTTTGTTTAAAAAACAATGTTGTAATGTAATTTCAAAACAGATTTACACACTAAGGGGTGCATCAATTACAGCAATCAAAAGATAATTTGTTTAAGGATACAGGGCAGAGATCCACTGGCTGGTCGAGGCACTGACAAAGAAACAGGACAGGCTCCACATGGCCATGGCGACAGGCGTTCTCTGTGTGAAATTGGACAGTGAGAGCAGGACCCAATCCCGGACCATGGAGGACTGACCAGTGGCATGAAGCGTCTGAAACACCTGTAGTAAGAAGTACAATTTCAGTATCATCCAGCGACTATTTTAGCTTTTATTAATAGTTGAATTTTTATTTTGTTTTCATTTTACTTTTAAAGTTTTAGTAATTCTAGTGGAGTTTTTTTGTCATATTTATTGTCACATTTATTCCAATTTATAGTTGAATTTTTTATCGAGTTATAATTAAAGAATATTTCCGTGACAACTGCCTGAATACAATAATTATTTATTTATTCACCAAACATTTATATTGTTTAAGCATTAACTTTGGCTACACTGACTTCTTGTAGCTCAACTAGTCACAGTTTGATTCCCAGGGAACTGATCAAATGTGTAATTTGTGCCTAAATCAAAAATCAGAATCAAAAAAAATATGTAACTTGTATACAGTGTTGTTTTGGATAGAAAATGCACACATATAAATGTAAAAATATCTGTGTAAGCAGTGCTTCATATATCACTACACTATGATAACAGACAACTGAACTGACCTTTTTATAGATTTCCCTGATATTTTGCTAATATGACCAAACCTTTACAAACAAATTCATTTAAGATCACAGAGTGCATAAAGCATTACAAAAGACATCAGTGCCTAAAATATGGCACTTGCCTTGTAGACCACTGTAGCCATGAACTGTGGGTAAGGCTGCTGATTGGACAGGAACTCCCCAATGACTTTGTTCATAACATCCTGCAGTGGGAAAAAGTCATCCAGGAACTGAGGAAGGATCCTGGCCACAACACGTGCCTCACTCGGAAAACCTTTGCGAATCCTGGCGCAAGAAATTGCCACAGATTAGGCAGATATATTGTGATGAATCACTGGAACAAAAATATATGGTTAAACATACATACCTGTCAAACAGAACAGATACACGCTCCATTGCGACGATGACTGACTCGCTGTCAGGAGCTGTGGGGTCTGCATCAGCAGGACGTCCAGGACTTCCCTTCTCCTTTCCTGTAGTGTAAAATGAGGGCCATCATTAAGAGGAACAGTTTGGTTTCTTTACATTCCAAATAAGAAAAATCTCAGTTTTTTTACAAAATAATAAGAACATTAATATGCGTAAGTGATTAGTTCACTACCAGAATGAAAATGTCCTGATGATTTACTACCCACTTGACATCCAAAATGAATTCAATTTAGTCCTTGAAAATGATTTATGGTTTTTGAGGAAAACATAGAGCATCATTCACCATATAGTCGACTTTAGCGGTTTTCGGTGGTTTCAATTTGCAAATTGCAGTTTCAGTGCAGCTACAAAGGGCTCTGAACAATCCCAGAACTAGAATAGATCGTCATTTTCTTAAAAGCATAACAATCCATGTACTTTATAACAAAAAAAGAACCTTATTCCTTAGCTGGGATAACTTAAAATACTTCAAAGCTACATTTAAAGTTCAAATAATTTACTACCAGAACATTTCCACAGTATAGAGAAAACACTGGAAGAAAATCTATTTGTTTAGCAACTGAAGAAAGAAAGAAATGATTTTGGATGACTAGCAGGAGCGCAAATTTATCACATTTTTCTGGAAGTGAACTAATCACTTAAAACAACCTTAAACATAAAGCACTTTCTTAAAGGAACACTCCAGTTTTTCTTAAAATAGGCTTTTTTTTTTTTTTTTTTACAAATCCCGTAGCTGAGTTTTACCATTTTGTGAATCCATTCAGTTGATTTCAGAGTCTGACAGGAGCACTTTTAGCTTAGCAGAAATCACTGAATCGGATGTGCCCATTAGCATCTCGCTCAAAAATGGCCGAAGAGTTTCAGAAGATTTCCTATTTAAAGCTTGACCTTTTGCAGTTACATAGTGTACTGAGACTGACAGAAAATTAAAAAGATGCTATTTTCCTATTGCTAGGAACTATACACAGATTTGAAGGTGCAGGTGTACGGCTTAGTGCTGGGGTCTTTTTTTCCAGGCACTGCGTAATTTTTATCGTGCCTGCTGCAGCCAGTGTACAGCAGCATAGTTTCTTGAACATTATGCTGGAATGATAGTATTGTTCCTAGTCATATCGGCCTAGAAAGGTGCAACTTTTTATTTTCTATCAGTTTTAGTACACAACGTAACTACAGAAAAGTCACGCTTTAAACTGGAAATCCTTAAATAGAAACTATCAAACTTAAAATATTTTTAGGCCAGATACTAATGGTCAAATGGCTAAGCTAATAGTGCTCTCACCAGACATCAGCTGAATGGATTGAAAAATGGCAAAACTCAGCTGTTTAACTCTAGAGAAGCTGTAAAAATACCTAATTATTATTATTATTTTTATTTTTTTGAAAGTGGAGCGTTGTTTTAAAGAACTCATTCTGCTGCTATGTGCTCTGTTAGTAAGGTGAGTATCTATAAATTGAGCCTGCTCTTATGGCTGCTACTGTTAGTAGGGTGGGTCAGTATTGAAGATGAAGCTGAAATGTGTCCTGCCTTCCTCTCCAGCCACACCTGTGTACATGCAGGTGAGCATGAGACCCAGGGCAGCCATGGCGCGGTGTGGACTGGGCATGTTCACGCGGTCAACGCTGAGCTTGACCAGTGTCTCTGCATCCATGCGTGAAAGCTGCTCAGACAGAAGCAGCCGCTCCAGACCTCGCAGGACGCAGTGGTAGATGATGGACGGTGTGGCCTCCTCGCTCGCGGACAGAATCATGCAGCACAGCTGGATATGCAGAGAAGGTAAAATAGAAGAGAGAGAAGGGTCAATGACAGAGTGTCAAAGATAAAGAAGAGAAAAAATTTGTAATCATTAGTTTAATGTTCAAGTCCTTCATTCTTAGAAATGTGTCTTTGGATTCATATCGCTTTGAAAATCTGTATTACATTCTTACCTCATGTCCAAACAGAGTTAAGAAAGCATAACGTTTTTTTTTTTTATTTGTTAGACAGGATGCTTAATATGATGAAAATGTGTACACAGACAGTTGTGTACAGATATTTTACCTCTCTTGAAGGTCTTTTCTTTGACCAGAGTTTTGGCAATCTCATGCCAAGTGTTACAACTAGGGATACAGAATCTGAGCACTTTGAAATCCACAGATGATTGAGTCTATTCATTTTCCTGTGTAAATTGATATTCATCCAGTAATATTATTGACTGATATGAAAATGTCCATATGATTTATTTACAATACAGTTTATAAAGTAATACTTTCTGTCTTTTAGTAGATATATTATATGGGAGACTTGCTTTGTTTACCAAATAAGTGGATCCAATTGCATTTGCATTGTAAAAATTTTATTCAAAGTTAAAACCATATTATTTTTTTTTTCATATATGAAGTTTTTAGTTATGATGCTTTAAAAGTCAGTTATTTACAAAATTCTCAGCAGAAATAGCAAAAAATGTCCGCAGATTCCATCTGGCCCTAGTTATAATGGTTATAACCCATATAAATATCTGTTTTATGCTAAGTTGTATAAATGTGGGTACTTTATAACTTCTGTGAATAAGGTTGCTGCTTTGTTTACAAACCAATTACTGTAAAAATTAACAAATAAATATGAAAAAAAAAACTGTCCTACAGATTATGCATGGTTTTTATGAAGGGTGACAAAATGTCACTGCAAGCATCCTTCAGGTTTAAAAAGATAGTAATAATAGTAATCATAAATCAATAAAACCATTTTCCTTACAGCTTTAAATAAGGTGAGCATACACAATTATTTAAAAAATGTTTTGCTGTTTTTTTACATTATGGATATATTAATGACATTAAAATTAGAATTTAATATAAAGAGGATTACTACAAATTTGTATTTATTTATTAAAAGCCCATGAGAGATAGAAGCTAACAAAAAAAGCATTTCTAAAAAATAAAAAAATATAAGTAATTTGTTTTCTGAAATGTAAATCTGTCCCTTGAAGCTTTCAGATATTGTTAATTACAGAATATTACATTATATTATAGAACTCAAGTCAATATCACTTATCTAATAACACTTAACCTAAGATTTGTGTAAATAAGTTAAATTATGATATAATCTCTGTTTCATTTAGTGTTTTCAGTAATTCATTTACTTATTGACTATATGTAAATGAAAATATGAATAAAATATTTAATAAAGTTATTTTTAGAAGATTGTTTCTTTGCTTCAATAATATCAAACTATCTATTATATATATATATATATATATATATATATATATATATATATATATATATATATATATATATATATATATATATATATATATGTATTATTTATTTTTTTTCATTATGAAAATTAGTTTTTTTGTTGTTGATTTGACGTCACATTTTAGAAAACATTTTATGCATGATTCATCAATTTATAGATTAAACAAAAATAAATAAACAAACAAACTGGACATTGAAAGTATATAGATTAGACATATGTTATTCCTGTAATATTTAATATTATTATTTTATTTTTTCTTTCTCTCAAAGTGTATTAAGTTATTTTAAGTTTTATATGTTATTCTTGTTGTATTATTATTTTTATGTAAACCTACAATTTTAACCTTTTTCAATTTGTATGACTGTTTAAAGTAATAAAAATTGTGGTTTAAAAAAATTAACAAACAAACATCTCATGTCAACCCAATAGTCATCCAGAAACCGCTCATATGGATTACAAAATCAAACTGATCTATTAACAGATTATAATTTTATATATTAACACATTATAATGTGGTCTCCTCCCACCTGAATGATGCCGGCGTTGAACTCAGAGCCAACATCCAGCGGGTAGTTCTCCATCATGTAGAAAGCCACGGCGCACATCACCAACACATGCTGCTGGTTGTGCAGATTTACACAGCTGAAAAAGAGACACACACACATAAACAGCATTAGTCCTAAACACACTTGCGTATTTTCAGCGAGGCGATCTGATGCTAATTCTAGCGCTGGTCTTTAATGAAGGATCTCAGATCTCAGTAAGACACCATACATTACAGCTAATGAGGAGCTGATGACCATGCAGCGTGCCGTGTGTGTTGTCATTCCCTGTGTGAACATATTATTGAGTCTACCAGCATGCCACAGAGACTTTGGCATTAGCTTTGACTGCATGGGGCTTAACCTCTTAAGAGATGTGCTAACAGTGTGAAGCCTTTCATCCTATATTCTCTTAAATGAAACGGCAAACACCAAGAGTTTGTGCGAGACTAATGAGTGGTCGCCGTTGGCTGCTGTAGGGAGTGGTGTGGTGGTGGGGTTAAAGCTCAGGGCTGCTAAGAGAAAGGTTAGTGAATTCAGTCCACACAAAGAGTGAGCTATGAGCCTTCATCATTGACTGGAATCAGGAGAAAGTCTGCTACAATGGCTAATTAAGAGCAGCTAAAGTCTCTAGGTTTTTCTAGTATTTTCTGAGCCCAAAGAAATGGAGAAGTTATGTATATTTGCATTCACTACTTACTTCTATTTTAAAGATATATTTATAATCTGCTTTTTGTCCTTTCTCTGTAATTCTGTTGCACTGTAGAAGCTCTGTCTCAAAAACAAATTCCTTGTATGTGTGAACATACCTGGCAATAAAGCGCTTTCTGAATCTGACATTAACCTTTCTGCATACTAGTGGACATTTTTCTCTCTCTTTTTGGCTATAAATCTCTATTGAACATTTAATATATATGGATTGTGGATTAATATATATGGATTATGGAGAAACATGGATTTCAGGGTCTGTTTTGGATTGTTTTTAATGTGACTGCACAAATAACAACACTTTAAAATAAATGCAATCTCTGATCATTTATTTGTTCAAGACTATAATGATACACAAAATATCTGCTAAGCCTTTAGTATATATATATAAATATATATATATATATATATATATATATATATATATATATTTTCTGAATATTTTCTTTTGTGTTCAATAGAATAAAAGAAACTAATTAGGGATGCACAATATATCGGCAGCCATATCGTTATCGGCCGATAAATGATATTTTTATGATTATCGTTATCGATCCGATGTCAAAATTAGGCCGATATCTTTAAGCCAATAAATTACATAATTGTACAGAACTGACTGCCTCGCGCACGCATGGGCGGAACTTGTTCAGACTTGTCCAGTGCACTGTAATGGAGCTTTCCTCACATTGTTTTTTCCTTCAAGTCCATCCTTTCTTCATGGGGTACTGCTGGGCGTTAATTACTTTTGGTTAATAACTATTTTGGTTTAAATCGCACACATGCTAAAGAACTCCTTGGGTTGTTTGTAATCTAATATAAATAAATAGTTGCTTGTCATGTTTTGTTGATGTAGGATTGTATTCAGTTCAATCGGCATGTTTATAATGATTACAACGAAGGCTTGTGATGGCTATTACCACACACGCACACACATAGTGAGCTGACCGAGCCTTCACAACAGCACCGGGGAGAGGCGCGCCAGTCACTAAATCTAGCGAATGGGTTCTTAACTGTCCGCCACATTTTGTCTTTATATTATGCTCTGTGTTTGTCATAAAGTCATCTGTGTTCAATGCTCAGGTGTTGTATCAAAATCTGAGTTGAGGACAAATATGACTTCGCTTCATCACACAGCGGCTTTAGTTATTTTTCAAACTCACAGCGGTTCATTTTTCCCACAATTGACAACAAGACCGATTGACAAGCAGCACCCACATGCTTTCAATAGAATCTAGAACACTAAATGGGATGAATTAATGCCGCGTTTTCTAAAGTAATACTATCTGTATTCAGCTTTTCGCTTGTACGGTGGCTCTGAACTTTCAAAACACTTTTCTCAAAACGCTTTTTCTGACATTGTATATTTCTACATGTGTAGATTACTGTGACACGTTTTATTCAAGAACATTTGAGCTAGTTTCAGTCCTTAGTTCTTTCGGTTTCATTTTACTTAAGACATATTTATTAAACTTGTTTGTTGATGAACAAGTTTTGGCCTCCAAATCTTAAGAGTTATCGGTTATCAGTATCGGCCCACAAATCCATATCGGTGCATTCCTAAAACTAATAATGGTTTGAAGCAAATAAAGTGTAAGTTAATGACAGAATTTTCATATTAGGATTAAATATGCCTTTAATTAACAGTAGAAAATTAAGAAATTAAATAGTTACATTATGTAAACAAGCTGTATGTGTGAAAGCTAAAGTTTAGACAGACAGTAAATAATGTGTGTTAGGTGTGTTTGTGTGCGTTCAGTTTTAAGCATTACTCACTGTGCTAAAGCTTTAAGGTTAGACAGCAGGTATTCACTGACAGTCGGTATAAGCTGTCGCGCTGTATCGTCCAGTAGGTCACACTCCAGCACATACAGAACTCCATGAAGAGCCCCGATTCGACTGGGCAGATGAGTGCTGCGTAACGTGCTCTCCAGCAGACGGCAAACAGGCTCTGCAATGGCTTTATCCTGATACAGGTACATCAGTCCACATTGTTAACATCAGTCACATATAAAGAGTCAAAAGTGCATGTAAACACTCACCATGCCAAGCACTGCTGCTGCTTTACAGATTGCTGGAACAAGGTATTGGTTGAGGATCTCATCTTCTGGTGGATGCACCTTCTGCAGTTCAGTCAGTGTGGAGAACATCATATCAAACTGATTCCTCTCGGTGAAGAGATCAGACACTGCCAGCAGCTAAAAGAGAGAGATAGAAGAGGTGAGTGAACTGCAACGGAAGTGTAGTTTAGAACATTTACATTGTCATTTAGCAGATGCTTTTGTTTAAAGTGACTTACAATTAAGGAGGCATTCAGAGATTCAACAGCAAGAGGCAATACTAAATATACAACTGTTTGTGCTCAGAGAATTAAGTGCTAGTTTTGGAGACGGGTTTCCCAGTGATGGGTTGCTGCTGGAAGGGCATCTGCTGCGTAAAACATATGCTGGATAAGTTGGCAGTTCATTCAGAAGTGTCGTCAATACACTACTAACAGCTTTGAACCAGGCATCACACCCCTGAGCATGCCTTGGGCAGGAATTATTTACATTTTTTATACTGTGAAGTGGGTATTCCTGGAAGAAGGACTGAGGTTGTGTCCACGAAAGCAGTTTGTTCCACAGGCAAGCATATCTTTTTAGTTGTTTTCTATGAGACCACTTCATATTTTTTAGAATTGAGTATGTTTCAAACAGAGCACTGTGTGTGCAGTTTTTATTTTTGGAATTTTTTTTAAAGAGCCCATATTATGGGTTTTTGAAAATTCCCCTCCATGTAGTGTGTAACACAGCTCTAAGTGAAGTGAAGTATCCAGCTAAGGCTTAAATCTGTAAGAATACAGTGTTTAAAACTGTTGATTCATCTAGTCGACTCATAGTGCTTCAAACGAGTCGCCTTGATACCGATTCATTAGGTGTTTCGCCATGACGTACGAACGAAACCAAGTTATTCACGTGCACGCGCAAACCCGGGAGATTTCAAACCTGAGGCCCCGCCCTCTGACGCAGAAACCCAGACACACACCCACAAACACACGCAGACACACACACAAACATGCCGGTCGATTGAAGTCTCACTGCAGATGGATATATTGAGTCTCTACCCAAAGATGAAACCTCAGCATTATAGCCAAGCAGTTGGAAACTACTGGAAACTTCTGGAAGCTACATGCTACAAAGAATACTTCATCAGCGTTTGATAAAGGAAGGATCAGTAAAGAGTAACTTACTGCTGGACATGTCAGGATGGATTTTTCTTCCTCCATTTCTCAAGTGTAAGTACGTGCGATTAAAGTTGCCTCGTTGACTCTAGCTTGCAAATGTATTTAGTTGTGATTTGTTACTTGTAACCGCGTGTACTGTATCAGGTTAACTCGCTATATTCTCTTATCGCGTGCAAAGTCACGTTAAAAACGCGACGCGTGCTGCTTTGTTAACGGAGCTCCGTGGACGATGAGAAGTGTGTGTGCGCGCGATGTCGTCCGGAGGTGTGTGTGTTTGTTTGTGTGTGTGTGTGTGTGTGTGTGTGTGTGTGCGCGCGCGTTGTCGTCCGGAGCAGGGTTAAGTGCGTGTGTGTGTGTGTGTGCAATATGTGTGTGTGTGTGTGTCTGTGAAAAGAGCAGAGTGAGAAGCTAGGAGATCTCCTCAACTGTTTTTGGAGTTTTTGCTCAATAAAATAGTTAGTCGTCTGAATTTTCAAGTCCATAGTCTGTATTTACATTGACCCACTGGCAGCTAAAATCCACGCCTACACTATCAAGCGTGTATGAACTGTGATTACTTTTATATTGCTGATTAGCTGTTGTGCATTTCACTCTGACTGAAGGCAGTCGACCAATCGCAACAGGCTGTCATTGGTCCAATCAGCGCAGATTAGATTCGCGCTAAGGAGGGGTTTGGGAACAAATGAATCACTGGACGATTCATACGGGAGTCGCTGGGATAATTAGGTAAAAATAAATGCAGATTATAAGACCATGAAAGTGTTTTTTTGACCTTGCATGCATATTAAACTGTTGTTGGAGACCCTTACAACCAAGATATGACCCTATTTCATGTATAATATGGGCTCTTTAATTGAAGGAAATGTTAAAATACGAAATTATAGTAAAACGCAGCGCTAAAGAAGTGTTCACAGTGCACGTTTTTAGGCCTTGATCACACCAAATGCACTTTTTATGATGAGAGGCCTTAAGAGCCTTTTTTTGAATGGCTTACTAATCAGTCCATCCAGTATTTAGCAATCTGCGTTCGCTGAATTTATCGCAAAATCAAGCAAACTCTTGTATTTTTTCTAAAATGCCTTGGATTCGGGATCTAATCGATTTCTATGAGGTCATCTCGACACGGATTCCCTCAAAAACAAAGGCCATATGAATGCAAACAACCCTCGCTAAGCCATGATTTTATACACATCAAGATCGTAGGTGGCAGTATATACACCTTATGCTGGTCTGTAACTCAGCATTTAACTAGATAAAGAAGACACTGCACGTTAAATATGAGTAAACAATCAAAGTTGCATTTACCCACAAAAATTACGGTGAAAGACTAAGAAAAATTGAGGTGAGTGAAATTACTTAAATAAAGACTTGTTGCAGGCACAGCACATAACACCGGCAATGTGTCACGCCTTTTCACAGTGCACACGCTAGCAGAGCAGAAAGCAGGGTGTGTGCGCATTTTTTTTAAACTGCTTTTATTCTAGCCAAAATAAAACAAATTTCATTTAATAAAATGTAACATTTAAATTTAATAAAAAAATTTCTTCAGAGCAAAACATATTAGTAAGTACAGTGGAAAAATCCTTGCTCTGTTAAACATAATTTTGGAAATATTTGAAAATAAAAAAAAATTCACATGAGGGCAAATAATTTTGAAAAAACAAAACTTTTACATTTTTTTTTTTACAGAGATGGCCTTCATAAGAGACTTCCTGTGCAATGATTCAGTGGATTTTGATGTTTAAGCTGTTTTGCACACACAATTTAAACTGTATCCTTTAAATTTAAGTTGCAGAACCCAATGTATGGGTCAAGGAGTAATAAAAAATATAATAAAGACCTTTGTCTGTGTTATTTTTTATAGCAAATCAACACAAAATAATGCCGCAAATATTGAGAAAAGCTGCAACAAAATCAGTCATTTAAGACCGCGAAATTCAGAAAAAAGGTCTTACAAAATCATGGAAGGACTGACTAATGGTTACAAGCATTTTGTGTGCAGTGCACCTTGTGTTTTAACACACTGTGCGCCCGCAGTTGAAAAAAGTCAAGCCTGAGCTGAAAAAGCATGTTATGTCAGTCGCATCTTTTTCATTCACCAATCAAATTATGCAAAAGCGGAGTTTCCGTTGAGGCAAAGAGCATAGAATCACTAAGAGGCGACACTCTAGTGCGATTTGAGAAACAGCCACTAGATGCCGCTAGTGTTGTGGGCTGCCATTTTGGAATGAAAATTCCAATAGAACAACAGCATATTATAAGTCTGTAAAATAAACTATTGAAAGTGCTGATGATTGTGAAAGGAAGTGTTGTATTGTCGTTCTTCAGGTTGTATCTCAGCTTTAATGCGCTTTTTAAATAAAAATGCGCTTGCCATCGCGACAGCAATAAGATCCAATGAACGGCGGATCACTTTCACTACAAAATGGAAGAATCGCGGGGCTGTTGCTGGGCGCCGCTATTGCAATGGAACGTTGCAATGGAAAAGTGTCGTCTCTTGGTGATTCTAAGTTGTTTGGTTGAGGTGACAAGCAGTGTTTGTGTGTTCAAGATGACTACAGAGACTTTTAAAGATGGAAGAGAGACTCACAAATCTTGAATATCACAATCTTATTAAATATTACAGTTATAACAATATCAACAGCAGCACGCACAATAAGCAGCTGATTCAGTTGTTGCCTAGCGAAACACTGCATTACTTTTTTTACTTGTTAACAAAAAAATGCAGTCCGGTGCGCCTCGCGTTCTCAGAGAGTAAAAAAAGTGCATTTGGTTAGATCGGCCACCTAGACTTTTTTTTTCAGAATGACATGTCTTAATAGTCAAAGTGTTTGTTCAGAAACAGTGCTAACCAATATAGATTTACACACTTTAAAGTAGTAAAGGAACAAGAAAGTGTAAAAACAAAAATACAACCCTATTAAGAGTAACCAAAACCACCCTCACCGATCTGACCACCTCACTGATGAGCACGACAGGAGTCTTCCTGCTGCTGGGGCTGCCAGGGAGAATCCACTGACTGTAGAGCTCCAGGAGGAACTGAGAGCAGGAGTGGATGTCAACCCCAGCACGGTGCTTCCTAGACAGGTCGAAAACAAAAGCCAGCACATAGGGGTCAGTCTGGAGGATACTAGCTTTAAGAAGCTATGCTGCCAATAAATCAAATCAGTGGCCAATCAGGTGTGTGTGAGAGTTCTGACCTAGAGTTGATTGGTGATAATTGTGGTGAGGCTGGAGCTGGAGCATCTGCTTCATCTTCCTCATCCTCACCCCATTCCTCCTCCCTCAGAGGTGTGATGTTGTTTCCTAACCACACTGAATGAATCGACACCTACAAAATACAATTTTTATTTTTATTTTTTAGGGTTATATTTGAGTGAACTATTCATTTAGGAAAGGCTAATAGAAGGAAGAAATGTTCTATAGTAGTCAGTTTACTAACTTGACCCAGTTTGTAGTCCATGTTGCCCATCTCCCTCTCTGTGTTAATCTGCAGGAGGAGTTTCTCATGGCTGATGAGTGTGCCTGAATATGCAGATATACATGTAGAGGTGATATATATGACAACATGCACATAGTCAGAGCAAGAGGGCATTTCTGAAATCAAATCAAATCACTTTTATCGTCACATCATCAGCAGCATGTGTGCTATGATGATTGAAAAGCTTGGTGCTGGCTCCAGACAGTACAAAATACAACAGCATACTCCCAAAAAAAAAAAACAGGACAATGTAAAATTGACAATGAATAGGTGTACCCATAGGCAGTATTGTTTGTATGGATATGCAAAGTATGGATTGGTGACCGCTGACCTGCTGTTGAGGATGATAGTGATGGCACAGGGTCCCAGGCTTGATAAGGAAAATGTGTGGCAATGTTGTCTCTCTTTGACACCATGGCCTGAATCTCACGCTCAACCATACCTCTAATCACACTCAACTTCCGGCCAAACCTGAAGAACACACAACAACATATTTAAACACATGTTTAAACCTAGAGGAACAGTACAATAATACAATTAAGCTGCTTTCCCACTGTGTGGTATGTTTTAGCTTACTTTGGGCAAGGACAATAGAGAACACACGAACTGTCACTCGTATCTTTTTGACTGGGGAAAAGTGTAACGGTCAATAAGTGAATAAAACCCCACCTACTAGTACAGGAGCCAATCGCCGATCGCTATACGGTGAAAAAAGCTCGGCCTCTAGTATAGAAGGCTATTATTGATTGCTATAGACTGACAATACTCTGGGGGAGGGGCTTGGACCAGACGTGAGTTTCTGCAGATTTTGTGCGATTTGGATGTTTAGAAATGAAACTAAAGGGATAGTTGTTGTTTAATTTTATTGGTGACTTTTAATATGAATTTCAATCATAATCTTGGTGAGCAGTTTTGGAATTTGATAATTCCCCATTCAAACAGAATACCCGAGCATACTGCCTGAGAGGTGTTTCAAAGATGGCGGCCAAGTGAAATGACTTGCCTTAAAGGGATTTTGCTTTGGTTCAGTTTTGATTGGCTCCATTTGCATTTCCACTACAATTTAGTACTGCTTAAAAGTGTGTGTGTGTGTGTGTGTGTGTGTGTGTGCGTGCGTGCGTGCGTGCGTGCGTGCGTGCGTGCGTGCGTGCGTGCGTGCGTGCGTGCGATTATTGCTTTGTTTGTGTCACCTGTACTGGAAAAACGTTCTGAGAAAAACTTTTCATTCCAGGTCATCCCATCCACTGCTCAACTGCTAATGAAAAAAGGAGAATCTGGAACTTTTATACTAACCACGATGTTGTAGCGAGTTTTTTTTTCTTGTGGTCGTATAAAAATGATTTAGTCATGTGAACCAATAATACCACAATGTCAGCTGTGGACTATTTAAAGGTTTAATGTTCTCGTGTCACAAATACAATCATGCTCGCAGTGAGGCTGTTAGTAATGATTCTCTTGCACCAATCAATGAACATCAGCGTGCATGTCACGTTTTGAGAATGGCATGTTTAGAGATCACCCAAAGGGGTACAAAAAATACAATACAAGATATTAGTGTATCTGTACACACTACCTTGTATTTTTTTGTACTACAAAAAAATGAGCCATACTGAACCAAACCAATATAAATGTAATGTGTATTTATATAGCGCATTATGTAGCGTGTATAGCCATTCACCCAAATCGCTTCACAATCATGAATGGGGTTCTCTCCACACCACCACCAGTGTGCAGTGAGCATCCATTTGGATGATGCGACGGCAGCCTCAGGACAACGGCACCAGTGTGCTCACCACACACCTGCTATTGGTGGAGTGGAGAAACAGTGATAGAGCCAATTCGGTGAATGGGGATGATTGGGAGGCCATGATCGGTTAGGGGGCCAGGACACCGGGGTCACACACCTACTCTTTACGAAAAGTGTCATGGGATTTTTAATGTCCACAGAGTGCCAGGACCTCAGTTTAACGTCTCATCCGAAAGACGGCGCTCACTGACAGTATAGCGTTCCCTTCACTATAATGGGGAATTAGGACTCACGCAGACTGCAGGATGAGTGCCCCCTTGTTGGCCTCAATAACACCACTTCCAACAGCAACCTAGTTTTCCCATGTGGTCTCCCATCCAGATACAGACCAGGCTCAGCTCGCTTAGCTTCAGTGAGTAACTGGTCTTGGGTTGCAGAGTGATATGACAGTGGAACCAAGCACCTTCAAAATCTACAAACCTGGTGTCCAGAGCTTTAAGGATTTTGTTGCGGGGTTGCTGTTCAGGACAGCTGACGGCTGGATTTCCAGCTGTCGGTAGAGTCATGGCACTTAGTACCAGAGAGGTGATGGCCTGAACTGCCAGTACATTTATCTGAGTCCTCTCCAGATCCTCCTTGGAGACAAACAGACATGTCTTATTTATCACTCTAAGCATTCAAATCATGGACAAATGGTTTTCTTTCTACCTCCTGCTGGGTTTCCTCCTCTTGGTCCATCGTGATTGGCTGAGTGACCAGCACTCCCAACAGCGTGGCCCACGTCTCCTCAAACTGGGTTCGACTGCTCCAACCTGCAAGAAGAAATCAAGATGCTTCATAACCATAGCATGGCTGGACTAGTGAGTAAATGGTGAATAAAAATTTCAATTATATCCCTTTAAATAGACACTTTATTTGCATTCAATATGATTAGATATGTATATAAAATCCCTTCTGTAAATTCTATTTAATGCAGACACTAAAATATAACTTCAAATGCATTTTCTGAACTTATTTTAAAGCAACAGACCGGTCTGAAATTAGTCTCGTACCCAGAGTGTTAATGCGGTAGAGGAACTCTCTGAACACATCCTTCTCCTGCAGGAACTCTACCGGGATCTCTGGCAAAGCTGTGCCAAATTCTCCACTCAGCTTGGGGGACCAGCCCAGCTTCCAGACCTGGAAAACCAAACATAAGAACACTTTAATACAGTTCTAAGCACATAATACATACACACACACACATATATAAATACTTCACTCTCTCACCAGTGGTGGGATTCGGGTGTAGCTGTTCACAAGGGGCAGCCTGGCCAGACTAATGATGACGTTTCGTAGGGTGGGTGTAAGAAACGCTGGGATGTTCTTGTTTTTGTGGTGACCTAGAGTCAGGACAGTCTGCAGACCTTCAACCAGCTCAGCCATGATCTCACAACAATGCCATTCACGCTGGTCTAAAAATCACAGACATAGCAACTCATGTTAGAGACACACGATACTGGAAGTTTGACTAGATCAGATAAGTCAATTTTCTCAAATAATTTTGGCCAATAGCCAATGTGGATATATATAAAAAAAAAATTAAGTTGTACACGTGAAGTTTGTGATTTTATATAACCCATAATCCATTTATATAACACCCACCAACCAGCCAAATGCAGGTAGATTTCAGCTGTGGCGGGTTAAGACAGTCTAAAAAAAGAAAATATGAATTAAATATACTGTTAATACTATTCAGACCCCCTAGTTTTTTTGCGTTTCCGCGATAGCTGAATCCAACGCAAAATCAGCAAAAATTCACAATATATTATAGCGACCCTGCAAAATAAATAAACGCAAAATAACCGCAACAAAATGCAAATGATCACTTAAACATCAAATTCCAAACCATATAATCAAATTATATTTATTTCAGTTTGCAATTAATTGTTTTACATGACTTATAGATTGCATATGCAGTGCACATGATGTATCAGAGTGTCTCTCGAAAAATGACGTCTCACCTGCTCACTCACAATCATTAAATTACATGGAATGGGGGGCGGGGGAGTTTTCAGCTTGTGCAGTAAGCAGATGCAGATGGAGCACGAGTGATTCACATGTGAAGTCATAGCAAAAATGGGATATAGACATCTTGTGGCACGGATTGGACGTTTTGTGGGTTTGACACGCTTCAGACTGCAAAAGAAAGTTCGACCCAAAGGAGCAATGCAACAGATGAGATTGGTTCTAGGGTGACGGCCACTAGACGTGACCAAATTGAAGGACATTATTTGTGCTTCACATGTATGGCTGAAAATATGATGTTCGTCAAATCTATAAATTATTTCGTTCAACTCTTTCCCTGCAGTTTACGAGAGAAAACACTTCCCTGTCATTGAGGAGTTTTACAGCAATCCGTACTTTAGGTGTATTACGGTAGGGAAAGCCCTAATGCATGTCCTATGTGTGACATGATGTCAGGTGCTCCGAGGAGGAAAATCTGAAAGAAAGTAAGATCGTGGATAAAACTTTGACTTTATCCCCATCGTTACAAATTTTGTCTTGACATAGACCAAAGTACAGAAGCTTTATTTTAATGATTTGTGTCATTGTTTTAGATTGCACACCTAACATGGTAGGCTACCTAACATGGTAAATACATATACTTTTTTAACATATATATATATAACATAAATATGTATATATATATATATATATATATATATATATATATATATATATATATATATATATATATATATATATATATACATACATATATATATATATTTATTTATTTATTTATTTATCGCAAAATTGTCTGCATATTTATGGGAATTACCGCCACAAAATCAGTCATTTTTATTGCAAAAAACTCACCAAAAAATCCTGAAAAACTAGAGGGTCTGACCATTTTATTTTATACTAGTATTAACAGTATTTTTAATTCATATTTTCTTTACATTTTAATTTGTGTAACAACACCTCTTAAATAAATACAATTTCTTATCGGGCTAGCAATAGGGGCTGGGGGGAGTCAAGTGCTTCTCTCTTAAACTTAAGCCAATAAGAATCATTATTGATGACCTGTTATAATGAATATTTTTATTGCTTCAGAGGCTACTGTGCATGATACTCAAGTAACAGCTCATTTATAATTTCCTAAGTAATTCAAAACTGTGAATATAATCACTTATTAGTGTGTTTGTGTGTGTGTGTGTGTGTTAACTCACTATCCGAAGAGTCCACCTGGTCTTCTGACTGTTCTGATATTTTCCGCTCTGGTCTTAGAAACTGGTCACCAGGACCAACAGCGACTAGAAATGTGTTCAAAAATACAATTTTTTTTTAAATGACATTTTTATAAAATACACTTTTTTTTCCTCTCTCAGAGCTTTATAACACACACCTGCATGGATGAGGAGCTGTATGCAATGGATGATGGAGCAGGTGTGTGTGAGGTAGGAGTGAGAGGTGAAGTGTGTCCACACCGCCGGCTGCTGGAGAGCCAAACACAGACACGACAGACTCATCTGCATGTCAACACTCTGAGGCAGCTGATCCTGCAGCAAACGCCAAACCACCACCTACACACACACATAGAAAGAGAAACATGAGCAGAGCGGATGTTATTTTATTTACACGCACACAAACAATTATTATCCTCCTATTATCTTTCTATCAATACATGTCACATAGAGGTGTGCATTATTTATCATCTGCGATAATCATGTGCAAGCTGACATTATCGAGTATGTCACTCACATTGCAAAAAATAAATAAATATATGACTTCAGAGTCTAAAGCATTCACTGCATTAAAAAGCCTATTACAACACAGGCAAAAGCCCTTTGGTTAAATTTATAAAAACAAAAAAATTATTTGTAAGTTCTTTTTTTAAATATAATAAAAATAATACTTAATATAACTGAAAAACAGTGCATCTGGAAAGTATTCATTGCACTTGACTTTTTCCACATTTTTTTAATGTTACAGCCTTTTATTTTATTTTTTTGCTCAACTTTGGCTGATATATAGACAGTACAGGTATTTATCATATTGTTTAACTTTACCGTGAATAAAACTTGCTGATATGGAATTTATATACATATACAGAGTGCATCTGGAAAGTATTCATAGCGCTTCACTTTTTCCACATTTTTTTATGTTACAGCCTTATTCCAAAAATATTCTACACACAATACATTATAATGACAATGTGAAAAAATATTTTATTTGAAATTGTAGCAAATTTATTAATATAAAAAACCTGAAAAATCACATGTACAGAAGTATTCACACCCTTGCTTTACTGTCTTTAAATTAAACAATATGATAAATACCTGTACTGTCTATATATCAGCCAAAGTTGAGCAAAAATAAAAATAAAAAATAGCTGTAACATTAAAAAAATGTGGAAAAAGTCAAGTGCAATGAATACTTTCCAGATGCACCTTTTCAGTTATATTAAATACTATTTTTATTATATTTAAAAAAAGAACTTATAAATAATTATTTTGTTTTCATAAATTTAATTTGAGGGCTTTTGCCTGTGTTGTAATAGGCTTCTTAATGCAGTGAATGCTTTGGACTCTGAAGTCATATATTTATGACATACTCGATAATGTCAGCTAGCTATATATATATAAAATCATCTTATTTGAACAGGATGTCTTACCTCTATAGCGAGGGTGCTGAAGGTGGTAATGAGTGTCTCTCTGTCTTTGGGAATGTGCATTGAGGATGGCAGTTTGGACAGAGACAGCAGGTACTGACTCAACACGCCACACAGACTCAACACAGTCTGATAAAACCCAGGCTCACCTGCAACACACACACACACACACAAACATATGCAATCAGAGTATCTATATTATCTCCTTACAATAATTTGCAGCTCTGTTTATTTAGAATAGCAGAAGCAGCTAACGATCCAGTGTTTTCAGGGTCTGTTTTCTGGTTCATTTCACAATAAACAAGGTGAACTCAATCCTTGTCTGTGCATTTGGTTGCACAATATGTGCTAAGGTAACTTTACTTACACATTTACACAATTTCATTAACTTGTAACCTGCATTTAAGCAGTAGACAAAATAAACGCTAAACACAATAACTTTAAAATGTTCAAACACTCAAGAATTCAACATTTCACTGTGATGTTTTTAGTATTTTAACTTGAAGTGTAAAATAAGCACATGGCTAATGGTTTTAACTCATTGCTCACATTTTAACACATTGGTAACATGACATAACTTTGCAAGGATCTTTAGCACATTGCTAGCATTTAACATTTGAACTTTTTGCTAACATTTTAATGTTGCTAACATCATAAACATTGCTAAGATCCTTAGCACACTGCTTGCATTTAACATTTTAACTTTTTGCTAACTCTTCTTGCATTTTTTTCGAACATTTTAACATTGTTAACATTGTTAACATGATATAAAATTGATTGTAATTTTTTGCACAATGCTAGCATATAAGATTTTAACTATTTGCCAACATTTTCTCCTTTTTCCTAAATTTTTAACAAGTTGCTAAGATGATTTCATGTTGCTAGTATCGTTAGCACATAGCTAGAATTTAACATTTTAACCTTTTACTAACTCTTCTTGTTGTTTTCTAACATTTTAACCTGTTGCTAACATAATATAACATTGCTAAGATCCTTAGCACAATGCTAGCATATTAGATTTTAACTTTTGCCAACATTTTCTCCTTTTTCCTAAAATTAACAAGTTGCTAAGATTATTTAGCATTGCTAGTATCTTTACCACATTGCCAGAATTTACCATTTTAACTTTTTGCCAACTCTTTTTGCTGTTTTCTAACATTAACATGTTGCTAACATAATATACCATTGCTATGAGCTTAAGCCCAATGCTAGAATTTAACATTTTGACTTTTTCCTAACTCTTATTGCTGTTTGCTAACAATTTAACATGTTGCTAACATAATATAACATTGCTAAGATCCTTAACACGTTGCTATAATTTAACATTTTAACTTTTTGCTAACTTTTCTTGATTTTTTCTAACATTTTAACATTGTTAACATGATAAAACATTGCTAGTAACTTTAGCACAATGCTAGCATATTAGATTTGAACTTTTGCCAACATTTTCTCCTTTTTCCTAAAATTAACAAGTTGTTAAGATTATTCAACAATGCTAGTATCTTTAACACATTGCTAGAATTTAACATTTTGCTCTTCTTGTGTTTTTCTAACATTTTAACATGTTGCTAACATAAGATAAAATATGATCTTTAGCCCAATGCTAGCACTTAACATTTTAACTTTTTGCTAATTACTCTTGCTTTTTTCTTACATTTTAGCACGTTGCTAACATAACATTGCTATAATCTTCAGCACAATTCTAGCATTTAAGATTAACTTTTTGTCAACATTTTCTGCTTTTTAACATTTTAACAAGTTGCTAACATGATTTAACATTGCTAGTATATTTAGCACATTGCTAGCATTTGACATTTTAACTTTTTGCCAACACTTCTTGCTTTTTTTAACATTTTAACATGCTGCCAGCAACGTTTTACAATAATAGCTTGTTTCTGTTTAAATGTTTATTAATGTGTATTATATTAGTTTTATGTTTTAGTACATTCCTAACATATTACTACCACACATTGCTAACATGTTGTTAACAAGTTTTCATCACTAGTATGATTTAACATTCTTGAATGATGTTCTATGCTATATTTTTATGACCTTTCTGACTCCAGCTCACCATATACTTGATTCAGCTTCTGCCAGTAGTCCGGACATACTTTAGATGAAGGGAGGAGGGGCTGATGAGGTGAGGGGAGGAGCTCTATGACACCAGCCAATCGCTCGAAGGTCACCTGTTGAGCGGTGTCAAATAATACCGCCCCATGATCCTTACACACCCTCTGCACCCCAACACTAAGACATGATGCCAGCAGACACAGGTTGAAGTCCTATAACACAAATTACAGTCAGAATCAGAAAATAAGACATAACGCATGAGTTTTTTTTTTCATTTGTTCAGTGAGACATGAAAATTTACAAACACAATCAGGAGATCAATATAAAAGAAGGAAACTACACATTACATTAACTGCATTCTTATAAAGAGAAATGTAAGAAAACATAGAAAGGAAGGGGAAAGTAAATTACAATAGTACAGAAGTGTATAAAAATAAATTAAAGAGACCCTATTATGGTTTTTTTGAAAATGACCCTCCATGCAGTGTGTAACACAGCTCTAAGCGAAGTGAAATTTCCAGCTTAAATCTGAAATTTGTGTTTAAAAATATTAATTCATTTATAAAAGTCGACTCATAGCGGTTCGAATGAATCACCGCGCTAACGAGTCTTTAGCCGTGTCATCATGATGTCGATACGAAACTCAAGCTCGGCCCATTTGTTGCACGTGCAGACCTGGGAAAATTGAAACCCCTGGCCTGGCACACAAACACTGTAGAATGAAGAAGATGAAAACAAACACTGTAGCAGATCCCAGTTGAATCCAGTCACAGAGGCTGTGCTGTGAATTGTGAGGGGAGTTGGTTTTATTTCCCGACCCAAAGATAAGGCTGTGAAGAGTCAGTTTATTTTTGCAAAAATACCATAGCATTACAGTCCCAGCATTGTGCTGTTCCCGTCATTTTTCTGACGAGTGCTTCAGCAATCTACGCGCTTACAACGGCACGTGCCTCTTTCTTTACGGATTTAAATGCGTTTGTGCGCTCTCGATCCTCTGCTGCTTTTCGTTGCTCTGGCTAATGTCAGCTGTTCCTACACAAGTGAAGAAGTTAAGTTTCAAAAAAGTTTTTCCCCTGTGTGGATGAATACTGAATGTGTGTCACTGTTTTTACTTATGGTTAAGAATAGAGCAATATGCTGGTGTTTATATGCTATGCTAATATGCTAGTGACTTCTGGCCTAGCTCCTTTTTATCTGCTCTCACTTCTGCAGATCTATGTGCCCTCCAGGAACTTGCGTTCTGTGAATGAACGTCGCCTCGTGGTTCCATCCCAAAGAGAGAAGAAATCACTTTCGCGAACGCTCACGCTCAATCTGCCCAGTTGGTGGAATGAACTCCCTAACTGCATCAGAACAGCAGAGTCACTCGCTACTTTCAGGAAACGACTAAAAACTCAACTATTTAGTCTCCACTTCACTTCCTAATCTGCAATTGCCTCTTTGAATATCACACTAACTGTACAAAAAAAAAAAAAAAAAACTAATACTACTAATACTTCCCTTCTTAGACTTTACAGACCTGAAACTTGCCTATAGCACTTATTCATTGTTGCTCTTAGTTGTGTAAATTGCTTCCTTGTCCTCATTTGTAAGTCACTTTGGATAAAAGCGTCTGCTAAATGACTAAATGTAAATGTAAATGTTTAACTGCTTTAATGCACTCCTGCATTGGGCTCACACATACACTCTGCACTCCGACTACTTTAACAATGTTAATAATCCATGGTGGGGATTTCACTCTGTCTCACAATGAAAGCAGTTGACCAATTACAACAGACTGGGTTATCTGACCAATCAGTGCAGATTATCATCGCACTAAGGAGGGGTTTGGGAACAAATTAATCGCTGAGCGAATCATATGTGAGTTGTTGGGATAATTAGGTAAAATAAATTCATATTATAAGACAATGAAAGTGTTTTTTTGACATTGCATGCATATCAGCCTGTTGTTAAAACCCCCAAAACCAAAATGTGACCTTTTGTAAAGAATAATAGGGGCTCTTTAAGTTATTAAAAGCATCACGGGAAAGATATCTAAACCTTGTAACAGTCAAAAGGTAACAGTTCTTTGTATAGTACCAAAAATATGAGATATTTTTGTTCTTACACATATGGAAAGATTTGTGCAGTGTCAACCTCAAGAAAATGTTAAAAATTAGTGATAGAAGTCAAGCATTTCTGTTTATTTATGTATAAAAAAACATTTTCTAAACAAAAAAATAGATTTGTGCGTAAATTCTGAGCAATAACCAATAATTGTAATTCTACACAATTGCAATTGTAACTGTAAATGTATTAAAGATTAATCTTCTTCCCAAAATGTACAATTACCCAAAATATTAACATATATTTGGATATAAAATAATTAATTAGATAATGATTCTGATCTTTACCTTGCAGGTCATGATGGCGTTTAGGTCAGATTGGGGAAGTTTGGTCAGCAGCTCTGTAGTTTCATATAGAGCTCCTTCGCCTCTCAAACAACACTGGGATTTCACCAGAGTAACATACCACTCCTGCAACACACAAACACACACAACAGTAACAAAAGTTATGTTTTAGCTAAAAGGATGTGCCACATTTTCTGCTAACCAGTCATACCTTATTGGGTTCCACATTTTCAGGTGGAGGGGGAGGATCTCCATCCAGTGGGTGTGTAGTGATGGGGGCGACAGGGCTTGTGGTGTCTTCAGCAACAGTGGCTCTGAACCTGTCCAGCAGGGAGAAGAACCGCTGATGCCTGACAAAAGAAAGAGAGAACGGGGAGATCTTCATACCTACATTGACAAAACAAACAGATGAGAGTGGAAACTGCGAGCTGACTTACCTTTGTGCGAGACCACTGGTCTGCAGGTACTGCTGAATCCTGTCCAGCTCCTCCAGAGGAAGCTGAGCGATACTATTCTACAGTAGAAAACACAATCATATGGAACTTAGGGATGTGCAGATATTAAAATTTAGACTAATACACATAACTCTTTATGTCTGGACCCTAAGGAATAATACACTCACTGGCCACTTTATTAGGTACACCTGTCCAGCTGCTCATTAATGCAAATTTTTAATCAGCCAATCACATGGCAGCAACTCAATGCATTTAGGCATGTAGACATGGTCAAGACGATCTGCTGCAGTTCAAACTGAGCATCAAAATGATATGACGATGATTTAAGTGACTTTGAATCTGGCAGGGTTATTGGTGCCAAACAGGCTGATCTGAGTATTTTAGAAACTGCAGATCTAGTGAGATTTTCACGCACAACCATCTCTAGGGTTTACAGAGAATTGTATAAATGGGATAAAATATCCAGTGAGCGGCAGTTCTGTGGGCGCAAATGCTGTGTTGATGCCAGAGGTCAGAGGAGAATGGCCAGACTGGTTTAAGCTGATAGAAAGGCAACAGTAACTCAAATAACCACTCGTTACAACCAGGGTATGCAGAAGAGCGTCTCTGAACACACAACATGTCAAACCTTGAGGTAGATGGGCTACAGCAGCAGATAACCACACCTGGTGCCCCTCCTATCAGCTAAGAACAGGAATCTGAGGCTACAATTCGCACAGGCTCACTAAAAATGGACAATAAAAAATTGGAAAAAATGTTGCCTGGTCTGATGAGTCTCCATTTCTGTTGCAACATTCGGAGGATAAGGTCAGAATTTGGCATCAACAAAATGAAAGCATGGATTCATTCATCCCTCCAGCAGGATAACGCGCCATGTCATAAAGCGCAAATCATCTCAGACTGGTTTCTTGAACATGACAATGAGTTTACTGTCCTCAAATGGCCTCCACAGTCACCAGATCTCAATGCAATAAAGCACCTTTTGGATGTTGTGGACTTGGAGATTTGCATCCTGGATGTGCAGCAGTCAAATCTGCAGCAGCTGCTTGATGCCATCATGTCAATATGGACCAAAATCTCTGAGGAATATTTCCAGTACCTTGCTGAATATAAACCATGAAAGATTAAGGCAGTTCTGAAGGCAAAACGGGGTCCAACCTGGTACTAGTAAGGTGTACGTAATTAAGTGGCCAGTGAGTGTATACAAGCAGATATAAACACATTTTACATAGATTTGTTTTTAAGGCAGCCTGATTACAAAGAAAAAAAACAATGTCACAATCAAACATTTATTAAGTTGGCAGAGACTTTTTTAAAAATTCAAAACACCAGAGAGCAGCGATATACTGATGCCATAATAAATCTAAGTTAATTAAGCAGTTTATTTTTATTATATAATTCTCATAATGAACTGTTTATAGGAAAGTGTCTGGTGCATGCAGACAGGAAAGAATGTCTCTCCAGGACACTCAGGATTGCAAAATATTGTCCCGAAACATTGAGCATTTATAAGAAAGCGTCTGGTGCATATGGAGAGGAAATAGTGTGTGTCTCCTACATTTATTGCAGAAATCAAGGCAACAACTTGCAAGTCTTTAAGTAAAAACTCCCACTCACAACATTTTATCTACCCTCTAGCATAAACTCTTATAACCTTGAACCAACAATACTAATTATGGCTGAATAATTTATCATTTGAGCATCGATATCTCAATAATAATGCGTTTTATTTGAAGGCACCTTTCATGACACACAAGGTCACCCACCGTACAGGACAGCTAGAACAATCAGCTCAAATAAAAACACAATAAAAGTCAATAGAATACAATAACATTTTTAAAATGCAGTCAGGTTAAAGAGAATAAGCTGTTCTAAACAGATGTGTTTTGAGTTTGGATTTCAATTGTAAAAGAAAGTTTAAACTCAAAACACATCTGTTTAGAACAGCTTATTCTCTTTAACCCCACTGCATTTTTCAATTTGTGTGCATGGATCCTTTATTAAAGATTTAAAGATAATGATATTATTAAATATTATTTTTTTATTATTATTTATACAATGAAGACCATGTTATTTTACATTTTGACCATAAAGCACTTTTTAAATTTATTTTTGCTTGTTATATATTATAATTTATACATATACACTGCATAGAAAAAGACTTGATCATCCTAGTTGATCTAAATTATTGAAATATTTCCAAATAGAGCTAATTAAATTATTAACTCATATCGCAATATGTACATCATATGTAATTATGTTTAAATTGTTTATTGTGAAAAAACAAACATTACATCAGTACAGATAGTTACATATCATTCTTTTTCTTTTTTTTCTTTTTTTACAAGAGACAAAAAATAATAACAAAATATATATATATATATATATATATATATATATATATATATATATATATATATATATATATAATAAAAAAGAGAAATATTAATAATAATAATGATAATAATAAAAGAAGAAAAGAAAAATAGAAACATAAGTATTAAGTGTACAGAAAATTACAATCAAATGTTCAGATACATTGTCAATGTTGAAAGTAAACATTTACAATTAAACGGTATAAAATAGTATTAGATAAAACAAAAAAGTTTAATTGATACGAAATAAATTAAAAAAAGAGGGAACTCAGGAGAGTGCATCTATTAAATGGAAGGCAATACCTTAAGAGAGTTAAAGTAAGTTATAAAACATTGCCACTTTTTAAAGAAATTAGTTTTCCCAGAGCATCTAACCCATCATATGTAATTATGTCATATTTTTCCAATATCGTGCAGCCCTAATACCAATAACATTAATGCTTACTGGCTATTACAAATAAAGCCACTGATATATCATGCATTACTACACCTTTTCCATTATAGGGCAGCATTTGCCCCCTGGAATTTATTTCCATAGATAAGGAATTTCATTAATAGTAAATAGGCAATTTTTTTACAATAAACATATATATTATAAAATGATAAAGAATAGCCAAGTGAAATGAAATCCGCTGGCTGTGAGTCTTTACTATGCATGTTTTACCTGCAGGGTCTCAGCGAGCAGCATCTCCACACGTCTGCAGGCCAGAGTGTCCACCATGCGGGCAAGCACACGGAACGGCGTGTTCAGGAGTTTGTCCACGTACAGCATTAGCAGAGCCCCGGACTGACTGAGATGAATGCCCTCCAGACACTGCAGGGTCTTCTTCAGCATCACCGGCTGGACAGGAACACATTGAACACGTGAGTGTGCTTCACAGATAAAACAAGATGAAACTGTGAATTTGTTTGTATACATACAGTGCAAAGGTTGTCGCAGCGCGATTGTATGGCCTGTATGAAGAGCCCGCTGGCTGCTGAATTTCGGTGCACGGCACTGATGAGATCCTGAACAGGAGGCTCATGGGAAAGACTGATCAGATCGCTCACATGATTCACCGTCAGCCACGTCAGGTGCTCAGAGTCATGCAGGTTTTGACACTGAGAAGGAAAGACAAAAAGAAAACAGACATTTTTTATTCTTAAGGTCTTTGCACAGTGAAGTTTGAAATTTCCGTATTCATATCAATTTGATTTTCCCGAAATGCAAAGTTTATTTAAGGAAATCAGTGAAATTTTGATACATTGCTTGAAATACTTCACACATTTACATACAAATCCAGAACAGAGACTGGCAGTAAGTCAAAGACACGCACACCAAACAGAAGCAGTGAGCAGTGACAGTGTGCCAGTCACTAAATCCAGCATATAGGGGTTCTCAACTGTCTGCCACATTCTGTCTCATATGATGCACTGTGTTTGTCATAAATTTATCTGTGCTGAAGGCTCAAGTGACGCCATTCTGTATTTTGCCCTTTGCTTGTATGGTGGCTCTGAACAATCAAAACACCTCTCAAAAACAATTTTTCAGATGCGAAAAATGGAAAAAGAATCTAACCTGATTCAATTTTTTTTTTGAAGGCAGTGTGACAATACAATTGACACAACGCGAGGTGGAATTCATTTTTAATGAGGAAAAACTACAGCAAAATGTAAGATTCATCGAGCAATAATGTAAAGACATTAAAAAAGCAAGTTTGCATGAATTTGTTTTCTTGTCCAGTGCAAACGTCAATTCTCAAATCAATATTAATTTCTTGAATTAACCAAAAAAACTACATTTTATTTCGTTTCTCAAAAAACAAGAGTTTGATTTGGTATCTGAAGTAAATATGAAGAGCTGAGATGCAAAAACCTCTAAATGCCATCTGAAATTTTCTTTAAAAATTAGCATTTCCTATGTGGAAGTTCAGTTGTTTCAGTTTAAAGGCAAAGAATAAATTCTTTTCATGGTCTTCAAAGTGAAATAACTCGACATAAAGCAGATTGCAAATAATGCTCCTTTTCAATTGATATTTATGACAGCACTTAGAGCAGGGTTTCTGCAGATATCATAAGGTCAAGGTTAACACTTTTTAAGACCATTAAGTATTAAATTTACGACCCATATCACTATTGTAAAACACACATGAAGAGAAAATGCAAAATCACAAAATTAGTGGTAAAAATAAATGTATTCAAATTGAACAGTACTAAAGACAGGTTAGATGCACCACTGGACCACAAAAAAAACAAACAAATATCTTAAGGCTGATTTATACTTTCGCCTGGCGACGCATCGTGCACCTCACGAAACGGATGAGGCTTTTATACTTGACGCGTTCGCCATTAAAATATTCGATATACATATTAATGATAGGGGATGGTCAAAAGAAACAGACAGTAAAATCAGATGGATAAACAGAGAAGCAGAAAGTTTCCGGAACTCCATCATATCATTAATATCACTGAAGTTTTTAAACTTATTGTTTTTTATAATTTTTTTATTTATTTATTATAATGATTATAAAGATTTTTATGACCATTCAAGATTTTTTTTAAATCAAACTTTGATGCATCACTTGCTTTTGTTCATATCTCGGACATTTCTACCTATTGAAGTTAAATATTAATGTCAACAGAACATGGGTTGCTCTACAAATATATTTTGGTCACACTTTACAATAAGGTTCATTAGATAATGTTACTTAAAGCATTTACTAACATGAACAAATAATCAAAAACACATTTACTACAGTATTTGTTCATGTTAGTTAACGTTAATTAATAAAAATACAGTAGTTCATTGTGAGTTCATGTTAACTCACGGTGCATTAACTAATGTTAACAAGCATGAGTTTGGATGTTAATAATGCATTAGTAAATGTTCAATTATGATTAATAAATGCTGTACATGTGTTGTTCATAATTAGTTCATGTTAGTAAATGCATTCACTAATGAACCTTATTGTAAATTGTTACCTATATTTTTTATTATGGCACGAACAAAAGAAACGAAAAAAAAAGTACACTTACTAAAAATACTGACTTTTTTGTTGCCCACTCAACAATTTACCCATTACTGTCTGGCTAGTTTCTGTCCTCTACTTATAAGCTAAAAATACCATAATGGTCCAACATTCCTGACCATTATCTCCAATAAAGCCTAGAAATTGAGCATCAGTATATTGTAAACTGGTTTTTATATTCCTTTCCAGTTATCAAAGACATAATTTGTTACTTAATTTTAGTTTGTAAATTGTTATAAAAATTTAAAACTGTAATGCATACATCACTATAAAACCAAAGAATGGTGGAAAAACATATTCGGTAATACCTGTTTCAGACAAAATCTCTTCAAAGTGATTTATATTCAACTCAAATCAAACGTGGCGAACTTTTTACTTAAGTCTCAAAAATTTTAGTGAGCCGCCAGCTAAAATCATGTCGCAAGCACCCAAAACCGAACCTCCGCAAAGACAGCAATGACGTCACATTCGCGCACACTGAGTTCAGTAACAGAAAGCTGATCGGCTATTGCATGTTGGTCTCATTTGTAGTTGTAATATTGCAAAACACATTTGGACTTGTGAAATAAAGAACTACAACACCACAAAAACCAAGCAACAACAACAAAGAAGAATTTAAATGAGCATTAGGTGTAGCGTTACATGGACATCGGAAAAATAAGACCTGTGCAAAAATATTTAAGACCTAGAACAGCAAATTTAAGACTTGTAAAGGCCTAAAATTTAGATTTTTAAATTTGAGATATTTTAAGACTCCGAGGTTATTGTATCTGAACTCTTCATATATCTATTTAATTTAAATGTATTCCTCTAATTAGATTATTTGAAATACATGTTTAATACTGTACATTTAAACTAAATATATTTTATCCATTTACTTCAACATATTTGCAAAGTGAAGTACAACTCAGATCGAGCTCTTCAAGAGTTTAGAGAGGGGGTTTAAGAAAGCACACGTATTGCTTGAGAAACCTCACCACGTAATCACAAAAGAGGATAAGAGCTCCTCGGCGGACGATCTCTCTATTGCACATGGTCAGCTTTCCCTCGGGCCTCTCCTCCTCTCCAGACGAGTGTGGACTCAACAGCTTAGTGCTGGACAGACTGTGTCTCCTGATGGAATCAAGACACAACAATATTTACAGCTGCCGCTCTACCTGAGGGACCAAATGATTGACTGAAACTTTAAATCGCACATTTATCATGCACACAACAAAAAAAACAAAAAACAAATGAGTCAACTGTGTGGAACCTTTTGGGTTGGGTACTTGACAATATTGATTTTAATGTGGATTCTTAAATCTTCAGCTCAAATCTTTGCTGTTTTCTGATTTAAACTCACCTGCCATCCAATAATTTTTTTTTTTTTTTTGCACTTTAGTACAGCATTACAGATCACTGTAGCTTCGTCAATTACTAGCCGGTATAATGATCCAGAGCAGATAAACAGATAATTTTTTTTGCCCTTTCTTTACTTCAACAGCACTAAATATAAATATGAGCAAACATCAGTATTGTGAAAAGGACTTTACTGAAATATAACACGTATTATTTAAACCCTGCAAAGACCCCAGTAAAACATTTTAACAACAACATCATCATTACATTTACTTCAGAAAAGCCATTCAATTGTCATATCTTGTTAATAACTAGAAAAAAACTAAGTTTTTTGTACTGCATTTCTGATTTATTTAATTTTGAATTAACATGAAATCTCTTCATTAGCTAGCATATATAATTTAATTAATCTTAAAATTATCTATGTACAACACAATATTGAGGTTTTTTTTAATTATTAAATAAACAGTTTTCATTAAAGGTTTAGGTGAAATTAATAGGTAACACTTTACAATAAAATTCTGTTAATTGAACTTAGTAAATGTATTTACTAATATTAACAATGAACAACACAAATATTACAGTATTTATTCATCTTTGTTATTGTTAGTTAATTAAAATGTTAGCTCACAGTTCATTAACTAATGTTTAAAAGTATGAATTTGGATTTTAATAATGCATTGGTAAATGTTGAACTATGACAAGTATGCTACACAAATCTTGTTCAGTATTAGTTCATGTTATTAAATACATGAACTGATGAAATCTTATTGTAAAGTGAGAGCAATTCATGAAAATAAGAGTAGATTGTAATAGAAGTAATAATGAAAGGCTGATATGAATAAGATTTTACAAAACATCTGGGGCCTCATGTACAAAGACTTGCGTTGAATTCATACTAAAACATTGTGTACGGACAAAGCTGGAAATGAAAAAAATTCAGATGTATGAAACACTGCGTACGCGGAATTCCACGCATATTCTCTTTGTACATCCGAAATAATGTTTTGAGTGGTTAACTGAGCACAAGTCCACGAGCGCAAAACCCCTCCCTGACTCCTCCCCCTAATAAATATGGTAATGACTAAACTTTGGCAAAACCAAACAAAAAAGCAATGGCAAAAGCAAGCAAGTAGAGAAACTACACAGAATGTGAATTGGAGGTGCTCCTATCGGAGGTAGACCAAAGAAAAACTGTGTTACTTGCAAGTTTGTCCTCCGGAATTAATAACAAAAGAAAAAAAATGGAGTGGGAGAGTTCAGCTGACGCGGTTAACGCAGTGGGGTCTGAACATCACACTGTGAGTGAATTTGTAAAAAATTGTCCGATGTAAAGGTGCAGGTTAAGAGGAGAACAGGGACGCACTGTCAAAGTGTAGACTAAACAGGCGGCGGACCAGGGGATGCTGAACTAACACCCTTGAGGAGAGAGTTGCCTCATTTGTGAACTTTACTGTCTGGAGTAGTATCCATGTCTGTGGAAGACACAGATGTATTAAAGCAGCACTTTGTTAGGGCGGTATAGCAGCACCCATCTGCTCTTATCAAGGCAGCACCACCGGCATATAAGCTGCCTAATTGCCCACTCTACAACTGACCGAGTGCCTGCCACCTTGGAGCCTCATCCAAACCATGCTGTTAGTGAGGATGAATTAATCATGGGTTGGCCAAGGCCACCTTGCTACAATATTTGTTAGGCGCATTTGAGCATCACATTTTATTTGCACATTTATTGAAATGGAAATGTTTCTGATGCACGTATGCATATTCGTACTCAGATGGCGCCTTTATAGCAATGTGTCTGCAGTCAATTGCTCAGATTTCATTGGGAAAACCGGTGATCGCTGCAAATTGGCTTTTAATGTTTGGCTGGTCAACTGCATGGTATGGAAACCTTATATCTGCTAGACATGTGGATGATCCCGTGCCATACAGCTGCCATTGCACGGCTCAAAGATACTTTGTAGTGTTCAATTTAACAGCCTCTAGGAGTCGTCAATGGAAATAAATCAAACACACACAAGAAATGCACGTACGCCAGGCATGAAGTTGGCGCGGACCAACGCACATTCTCACGTTAATTTCATCGTTAGTAAATCCAAGCGTGAGTGTGAAACCTGTTCCTGAAAAAACTGAAAGTTTTTGTGTGTGCGCAGCGTTGATACATGAGGCCCATGGTCACGCTTTATTTTAATGTACAATTCATGCTATAAACAAAACATTAACTAAGACTTTTAGCTCAGTAAATGACTAATTTGCTGCTTCTTAATAGATAATAAGGTAGTAGTTGGGCTAATGTATGGAATGTAAAATAAGATCATATTTTATAAAGGCTAATATAGCCTTCATTTAAACAGTTAATATCTTAATAATAGGAAGGTAATAAGCCAGTAGTAAATGGTTTGAATTGTTACTGAAACAAAGTGTTACCAAACAGTGGAAGGCCAATGAATTATTTACCTTCTCAAACAAGATTTGATTTCCTAAAAGTACCACATATTTGTCTTAGTGCAGTGATTTCTGTTGTGTGCAGTCTGACCTGGGCGTCTGGTGCACCTCTGACCACCAGGTGTAGTTGGTGTAGTTGATGATGAGCAGGACCTGACACCACAGCAGCACCAGAGACGGGTGTGTGGTGATGAGCTGGAGAACCAGGCTGTTCAGACCCTCCAGGGTGTAAAAATCTCCCCCCTCTCCTCCCTCTGCCTTCAGCAATTTGCTGCCCGCTGCTGTGATACGCCGAAACATTCCTGGAAAACGCTGCGATGAGTCTACTGGACTGGTAGACACATGAGGTGTGCACTCTGTGAGTGTGTGTGTGTGTACCTGATTTGAAGATGTGTATCAGACACATGAGCAGCGTGCCGAGCTGCTGACAGTAGAAAGTGTGCTGCTGCTCACTCATGTCCACTTTCACCTGCTTATTGGCGATATCATCCAGCAACACCCCCACTAACTGCAGTAAGAACCTGACAAACAAATATTAATATTATCAATAATAATGATAATATTGTTATAATAATAATGATAATAATAATAATTAATAACTTGTTATTTAAAAATGGTGCCTTTCTGGACACCCAGGGTCGCCTTACAACAAACATCAACACACATACCAAAAACAATTAATAAAACATTGCCAAATAATTTTAAATACATAAAAGACTTGCAAATACAAACACATCTTAGATATAAAGTAACATGATAAAACATAATCATAAGAATGCCTGCTTAAAAAAAATGGTTCTTAAGACGAGATTTAAAAGTGTGAAGACTATCACTGTTCCTTAAATCCAATGGAAGGTATAGAACAGTGGAGTTCCATAGGCGAGGGGCTAAAAGATCTGGCTCCCATAGTGCTTAATCAGGTGCGGGGTGGTACTAGAGAGATAGAGTTGGATGATTTAAGAGTGCAAGACACTTTACTGGAAGCCAGTGAATCTGATAAAGAAGTGGTGTGACATGTTTGTGAGATGAAGTCTAAGAAATGACATGAGCTGCAGAGTTCGAAACCAGTTAGAGTTTATGGAGAAGTTTAGAAAGAAGCCCATTAAGAAGAGCATTACATTAGTGGATACATAAAGTGACTAGTGCGTGGATGAAAACTGCACTGTTCTCCCAACATGGGGAGAACATGCAAACTTGTCCAGACGAGGCTTAAACCAGCGACCTTCTTGCTGTGAGGCGATCGTGCTACCTACTGCGCCACCGTGACACCCCTACTACCAATCATTTCAGCACAAATTAATGTTTAATATATAGTGTCTCACTAAACATTTATTTTGTCTTTAGCAAATTACCTAGCGAAGGTTTCCTCAGGAGGGAAGCGCGGTGTCTCTCCGTTGGCATCCTCCATGGCAACAGGCAGAGTTTCAGGAGGAGCGGGCACATCATCGTCACACAGTCGACGGATGGTTGGACAGGAGAGCAGGTACGGAGACAGTGAAAGCTCCTGAATTCGGGACAGAATGATGTCCTCGGTGGACTGGGAGATGAGCACACGCAGGATGGCCAGAATCCCAGACACCCACAATTGCACTGTACCAACTGATGCCTACAGAAGAGAACAGAACAGAACAGGGACACAATGAGCCACTTTTCAGGGTTAAGGTGAGAACATGTTATGATCCAAAAATCTGCACATGCAATATCAAATGAATTCTTGATAATACACAGAATTAATCTGGAATTATCCCATTGAGACTTTGCAACAACAACAAAAAAAGAGGGGGGGCACATTTACAAACAGAAAACTTACTGGTTTAAAACTTTACTTCACTGTAAACAATGCTGGGTTCCTTCATGTTGTCCCAACACCCCAATTAAGTCAACCAAATTGTTTTTACAAGTTTAAGTGGACTGAAAAAAAATAATTAAGTTGTCCCCAAAAAAAGGTTTTCTGTTAGACTTGCTTATAAACTGCTACCTTTTTACAACTATTATTATTTTTTTAATCATCAATATAATGCTAAAGTGTTCTTTAGGGTTGTGACAACTAAGCAAATAAAATCTATTAAAATTAATAAATTTTTTTAATAATGTACTGATTACTTATTAATCAACTTTCCTCATGAAAAATGATAGACAACTCGTTCGAAAACTAAGTCACAATTTTCAACAAATAAATCGATAAAATGTATTTAATTGAGGAAGTAGTTTGATGATTTATTAAATGTCTGTTTAGCTGCAAAAATTAGAATATTAGAATGTTGAGTTTGAGAAAATACATGTTTTTTTTGTGTTTTTTTTATAAAAACCACTTTTCTATGTTATAAAAATATTCGAAAAATTAAAAGTCACCAACAGCAATAATATACAAGGTAAAATACATACATAATAATAATGATTGATATATATATATATATATATATATATATATATATATAAGATAAAAATCTAAAACAGTTTAAGGTTTACTAAAGGTTAAAGGTTTAATAAAATTTATCTTTAAGATAGCAACAGCTAATCAATACAATCAGCTGGGATTGCTAATAGAAATAATGAACAGCTAATTTGGTAATCGATTAATCAATTACTTCAGAGGTTGCAACCACTTATTAATTAAGTTACAATAAATCAATTACAATTAATAAGAAAAAATAACAATTCTTAATTTGAATACTAATAAACACATGCCTTCTGCTAACAACTAATCAAATCATTACAATTGAAAAGAAATAATCAATTGCTACAGATATCAATATCTCCAGCATCAGCTGTCTATAGAATATGTGGGTTATTTTTACTAGAGTAGATGGTGTGATGAACATGCTCTTCAGCAGCATATCCACAGGCCGCAGAGAGGATGGAGCTACAGACTCAAACAGTGTGTTTAACACACCCAGTGCCTCATGGGAATCCAGATGCATCTGTCAAGCACATAAAAGCAAATATATTAATATACACAGCATTCAAAAGCCATTAGAAAATCTAAATTGTGCTTTTCAAAACACGATTATATCAGTATATCAGACTGAGAAAGTCGCACTTGTTGTTTTGCGATCATTGGCAGGATGATGTCAGCGACCTGTCGCGAAAGTCTCTTCCACTTATCCTCATTCTCTTTATGGCACTGCTGGAGGACCAGAATAAACATCTCCAGCACCTGCATAAAAAAACATGCATGATTTTACATGGAAACCCGGATGTGTGTTGAGATTTTGCTAAAACAAACACACAGAAGAAAAGGGAGAGTGTTACCTGATGGTGCTGTATGAGGCGCAGCAGCATCGACACCACCACTTCCTTCTGAGTTTCTAGCTCTTTCCCTGCATCTGCTTTATTGGAGCCTCTCAGCACAAACAGGTCATGCACTATAGGCTGGAGAGCAGGGATTGCTGGGAAATGATGAGGAGAATAAAAAAAATGAGCAATTGTTTTTAAACAGAATAATGCTTTATATGATATGCAATTATTTCTACATTAAGAAGTCATTTAGGTCATTTAGACTGTCTGTAAACAAGGGAATAAGGAATCAGATTGTGGCATAAAAACTATTTTAAACTTACACTTTGTTCGATTTTTATTTATCGACAATGAAATTTACTAAAATCCAAGATTACTTAGCCATTCTGTAAAGTTATCATGTTCGAAGTTATCATTTTCCACAAGTTAAAAGGTTTTAGTAAAGTCCCTTTCATATTTTGTAAGACACTGATCTACAACCAAATTTTCTTACAGTTTTAAAGGAACACTCCAGCTCTCATTAAACAAGCTTTTTTTTTTTTTTTTTTTACAAAAGTTAACAGTATTACCACTTTTAAATCTATTATGCTGAACTCCTTGTCTAACAGAAACCCATTTAGCTTAGCTTAGCATAAATCAATGAACCATTAGTATCTTAATCAAAATTAATAAAATTATTATTTTTTATTATTTTTTAATAATTTTCCTCATTAAAGCTTGACTAGTTACATTGTGTACTTAGACCAATAGAATATTAAAAGTTGCTATTTTCTTGGCCGATATGGCTTGGAACTATACTCTGATCCTGGTGAAATAATCAAGGAAGTTTGTTATTAAGATAGCAATATCGATATTGATACATAAATGTAATGACATACTGTAGTGCTGTTACTTGGTTATGGACTATTTTCATTTGTATGTAATATCATTGAGCCTGCTGCAGCCATGGTATGGCAGTATAGTTCCTTGATTATTACGCCGGAAAAAGAATATAGTTCCTAGTGTAAAAGTGGTTCTGTCAGGACCGGAGATCGGCTGAATGGATTCAAAACTGGTAAAAACTGTTTATATCTAGGTAACTTGTAAAATGAGCCTACATTCTAAGCTCTACTTGAAATGATGATTGCATTATTTTTAATAGAAAAAAGAAGTGTTCATAAAAAGTTCTGTATTTTTGATTTCCAGCGTATTTGCAAGTTGTGACTGCACACACCGTGTGTTACTGCCTTTCTGCCACTGGCCATGATGCCGTCACACAGTTGAATGATCTTTGGGATGCTGATGATCTGTTTTGAGTGGTAGCGCTCATAGGACAGCAGAACCAGGAAGAAGAAAATGTTGGGCACAATCTCTTCAGAGTCCCTACACAGACAAAAAAAAATCATCAGTGTTGTTTAGCACACTAAAACTGAACATAGCACTATTATTAAAAAAAATGTCCGGTTAAGTATGATTTTGTACTTCTTTAAACTAATAAAAAAAAAAAACTAAAATTGATTAAAGTGACATAATGGATGTATAGAATGCTGCAAAACACCAGAAATGATCACTTGTTTCACAAATAATAGGCAGCAAAACTGTTTGCCTAATAAGTATAGGAGAATTCTTTTAAAAAGATTATAAATCTGACCGACCTCAAATTTCTGAATGGTGTCACAAGTTGGTTTGAAAATCTTACCTGAACTGGCCCACTTCAATATACTCAAACTGCTTCAGCACGAAACCAATGAATACCTATCAACATAAAGCAGTGATAACATGAATTAAATATTACCAAGATTGTTTTTGCCTTGCAGTCAGTGCAAATAGTGAAATGGAGCATAAATGTCTGACCTGGTCTGAGTCGAGTAAACAGTAGTTGACCCGCAGCTGAACGAGTTGTGCGAGTAGATCCAGCACTTGTCTCTGCAGGGCCACTGAGGTGCTGGTGGTGTATTGTTTCAGAGCTTTTATCACCAGTGGCTCAAACAAACGGATGTGATTATGAATGGCATTCTGAAACACACATTATCACTCACTGTTACTGTAATGAAAGACCAAGCAATTGATTTGAAATATATTTTCTGATCCAGACAGGATATGTGAGGCACAATATAAAAGTTATGATACAAAATTATCTAAAAGTGGCAGATAATAACACCATCGAAAATTAAACTGAATTGAAATTGGGCGCATTGGGTAGCACAATCGCCTCACAGCAAGAAGGTTGCTGGTTCGAGCCTCGGCTGGGTCAGTTGGCGTTTTTGTGTCGAGTTTGTATGTTCTCCCCTTGTTTGTGTGTTCTGTTTCCCCCACAAGTCCAGAAACGTGGTATAGGTGAATTGGGTAAGCTAAATTGGCTGTGTGAGTGTGTATGGATGTTTCCCAGTGATGGGTTGAGGCTGGAAGGGCATCCGCTGCGTAAAAGATATGCTGGATAAGTTGGCAGTTCATTCCGCTGTGGTGACCCCAGATTAATAAAGGGACTAAGCCGAAAAGAAAATGAATGAATGAATTGAAATTAATTTCATCAAACTAATTATAACGAATAAAACCAAACAGAAATAACAAAAACTAAAAATATAAACATGCTTCCCAAAAATACTCTTAGTCTTAATAATCTTAGTGTATTCTCATTAAAAAATGATTAATTATTAAATGAATATACTTGTCAGTCCATAAAAAATACATATACTTTTTTAAAACTATTTTTAAAATAAAAATGATTTCAAATATTGCTGTCATGCATTACCCCAATGTGTAATTTCTCATTTTCAATCCCCTCTTGAATCTCATTTAATAAATCTTATTAACTTTTTTATTTGATTTAAATTATAACAACTCATTTTTATTATTTTCATACAATTTTTAATTATGACAGTTAACAAACTACAGTTTAAATGTAATAGTAAATTTAGCCAATGTTAAACCATATAATGTTATTATTAATAATAAATAATTTCTTCTTCTAATCATAATTATTATTATTAATAATATTAATTATTGTTGTGTAAAATTAATTGTTTTCGCTACATTCATTCTTCCATGGCTAGACACCACACCGAAGTTCAAACCGCCACGGCTACATTAAAGCTTCTCATTCAAAACATTCAGTTGTTGTTTTTAATAGAAGTAATAATCGCACCAAAACGAATTAAAAGCCAGTGAAATATTACAGTGCAAACGTTTCTGTAATCAAAGTAGTGCTGTGCGTTATTTGTTTAACCTTTTAAGGTGACATGCTGACTGATGTGTGAGACCAGCAAACACGACGTAGGTTTCAGTTAGAATGAACACAGTTTCCATAATGATACATTATTTATAGATAAAGGTCTATGGCTCTGCATACAATGACTCTATCTTGCTGCAGTTTATAGCCGTTTCACTTTACTTCAGGATGCATTAATGCCACTCTGTAGGTCTATTGAAGACATTCATAAATATTCCTAGCAAAATCTAATAAATGTTGAAGACATACTCACTACATAAACGCACTAAATCGCACTTCAGCAGCATTTATTTCAGAGCGCACAAGAAAATCTCCGCTTGAGCAGCATATATTTGAGGGCGTGCAAGAAGTATGAACAGAGGAAATCGGCGCGCAAGCAAAGAGATTCGCATGCTCCTATTGCATAAATACAATCTCGACTTGTAATGCTGCGCTTACGACTTTTGTCATTGAAATAACGCCATAGGTAGTTGACAGACCTGTGTAAAAGGCCTGCCGCCACAGCTGAAAAAAAATCCCAAAGGAAACACTGATATTGATTTATCAATTTGTTCAGTTTTTTTTATAATAATACACACAAAATTTTTAGCACCCATAGCTACATCTTATAGGTCTATTTACCTTATCTCCTCGATGGCGAGTGACATTGGTGATACTTGACCTCAGCTGGTTAGAGACTTTTTGCATGACGTCAAACCACCTGTAAGATCCCAAACACAACATGTTAATAGTCAAAATTAGAACCACTTTATCTACAGGTCTATCTCAGGTACAGGCATGTTTTCTCACTCACCCAGAGGCGTCCTGTTCTTGTTCAGCTTGCACCATGTTTCTGAGACTGGCATCAGCAAGGGCCTGGGTGAAGTGAGTGTATGGAGCCATGAAGCAGTAATGGTAGAGTCCGGGTCTAACGCTGCTTGAGCCCAGCCGCAGGGCTTTACCTTGGGACCGACATGGGTTTGATGAAGCCCCCTCATACTGAGACGCAAGATTTGTCCCAAACAACGCTTTCAAAAGCTGTAAGCAAAAAGCTAATTGTGAAGCCCAGAAATGTTTATTGACATAAATTAAAACAGGAGTTAGAAATGCACACATCTGACCTGCTGAACACACACAGTGGCCATAGTGGGTTCCCTTGAGAAACAGGACTTTAGATAACCCAGGATCTCTTCAACACACTAAACAGATAAAAAAAAAATAAGAGGAAATGTTTTGTTTTTTCCTTCAGATGTTTTATTATTCATTGATGAGCTGGATCGATTTTGAGGTCATACTTTGCCAATATCGTGAAGGGTGGCCAACTCAAGCAGCTGAGAGAGCACATCAAGAGCCGACCTCAAGAAACCCCCAAACTTCTCATTGGGGTTGTGAAGGTCTAAAGTGACCTTGAAAAAAGTAAAGAGAAAAGACAAATGAGTTCAGCATTTTGTTTTGCTGTCCATGTCAACAGAGCTATTGGAATGAAATAAAGTCATAACATGCTGTATGTGACATCAAATAGCACACAAATAAAATAGTGATAGCCAGTGCTTAATTTGAGCCTGATCTTGACCCCCTGCTCTGTGAAATGTCAGATATTCGTGTTTAGTGTTCTGGTATTTATTTTAATTGATCTGGCATTAACTTTTGCGTGCATGTGTGAGAGAGAGCAAGAGCGAATGTGAATGAGTCTGAGTGAAAAACAGCACACGCACACACAAAGTTGTCACTTTGAACCAATCAGCATTCATTCATGAATTCTTTCATTTTCTTTTTAGCTTAGTCCCTCTATTAATCAGGGGCCACCACAGCAGAATGGATCGCCAACTTTGCCTCTATAATGCATTTCTTTGGACTATGTGGGAATGCAGAGCACCCGGAAGAAACCCAATGCGAACACGGGGAGAACATACAAACACATAGAAATGCCAATTGACCCAGCAACCTTGGTGCTGTGAGGCTACAGCGCTACCCACTGCACCACCACGCCGCCTCCAATCAGCTTTCTTCCGTTTACAATCACAGTCGTTGGTTGGTAATTGTTTCGCGCACAGTGAGCAGCGAAAATAAATAATGGCATAGAGGCCAACCTAAATAATATTTGTATTTTCAAAATGCCAAAGAGGCAGTCAAGCATATTTTCATTTTTTAAAACCACGAGTAAATCTGATCAAAAGAGATCTCGAGAAGATGGAACTGCGCCCCTGGATCAGGATAGCGGGAGACAGAAGCAAAGTGAGGCCAGTCAGCCAGAAAACATGACGGAAAAGCTAACAGTGGGCTCTTCTTGAAAATTACACAGAGTGAGTCTACTTTCATGGCACACAACAGTAAACAGAATACTGACGTTTCATACAGTTTATGTTTGTATTTACATATTTGTTTGATTGTTTTTATCCATGGTTGACCCTTAACTTTATATTGCACAAGATAATAAAAGACAATTTAGAAATTTGCAGATTTTTTTTTGCTATCACTGTTTAATGGCATCATGTTCTTTTAGCTGTTCTCAGTAGCTTTTATTTTCAGGTTTTGTTCCAGAAATCATTTATTTACAAATTAAGCACTGGTAATAACTGTTTTTTGTATTTAAAAAGACATAAAACAAACTGGATATTTCCATTTTTCAACGCGTCATCTTAGTTTCTTTGCTACTGAAGGTCACATGTTGCATCTATTATACATTTATAATGTATAAAAATAATAACAATAAGACATCTATACACAATAAAAGACATCTTACACAAGTGTGTTATTTTCTTGCACATGCTAAAACCTGTAATGTGTTCTTTGCTCATTTATAGCATGAAATCAGCAATTTGCCCAACAACATCTTATAATTTCCCATACCAGAAAATTAACAAAACTTATTTGATGTCTTATTTTTTTCTTTAAATGTCAGTAAATGACTTTGTGTTATTAATTTACCACTAGGAAACTACGTATAAAAGGGTTTAATGTTAACAATTTTTTTTTCAAACAATTGTGCTCCTTAGTTGCTTTAAAGAACACACTATTTATTTTAAAAAAAATCTTTTATGAATGCCTTTATTTCACTTTGGAATCCTTGCAGAATAAAATAATTTCTTATTATATGTTTTTAAATTCGCTCAAACACACACACGCACGCACGCACGCACACACGCACACACGCACACACGCACACACGCACACACGCACACACGCACACACGCACAAATCCAAACTTTTAGCATATTTAAAAAAAAAAACATAAGCTAAAGACTGCAGACTGACTTTATAGTTTGCATGTGTGGCTCTCAGTGCATCATAAAGCTTCAGGTAAGGAGGGAGGTGGTAAAAGCTGCCCAGAGTGGTGGATTTGTTAACTGCTGCTGTTGCCGTGCTGTCCGCTGCTCTGCCTGTGTAAAAACACTCAGAATTACTCAATAATTCAATACTGAAGAACATCATGAGACCATAATTGATGGATGCCTATTGTCTTTACTCAAAAAAGTATTATTGATCTTTACAGGTGGCACTGTAGCTGTGACTGCACCTGTGTTGCTCTCTCCGCCTTTCTTTGGGCTCATAGGGGTGGTGCCTGCCTCCATCATGTCCTTCTCCTTACCCTTCCGTCTGATTGGACTGAGAGATGGAGTGTTGGCCAATGAAGGTAAAGAAGCCTGAAAAAACAAATGTTAACAGAAATCAGAAATACAGATGTTTTCAATAGATAGGGTAAATATATAATACTTAAACATTTTTTTTGTAATCAGTATCTTTTGAGGGATTCCTTCACCTTGACCGCAGGACCGGGTGGAGTGTCGTCAAGCACATGAGCGCAGATGTTGAGGATCTTCAGCAGATGTGAGAACAGCTGCTCCACCATAACAACCAGAGAGCGGTCGTTGAGAGCAGGCCACGGCTCCTCCACCTTTGAGGAGGCGGGGCTAGACTCCTCCTCACCTGCCCATGGACTCTTCATGCACTTGGGTGCAACAGCTACAAAAGCAGGTGCAAAAACACGTTAAATACAAACAAAGAACAGTAAAAGACTGAAATGACTCTACACACTGCTTTTGTCATGAAAATAAACACTTTACCTTAGGCTGTTCGGTCACTATTGACAGATTAAATTTGATAAATACAAGGAATTGAATGAAAAAGACCCATATTGCAGAACAACAAACAAAATCTACCCACTATAATGATGAACACAGACAGAAATAACCCATACGCATGCGCACGCACACACGCACGCACACACACACAGTTGAAGTCAGAATTATAAGCCCTCTTGAATTATTAGCCAAAGTGCTTTTATTCAAGCCAAAATAAAACAAATAAAACTTTTTACAGAAGAAAAAAAATGATCAGACATACTGTGAAAATGTCCTTGCTCTGTTAAACATAATTTGGGAATTATACATAAAAAAAGATTTAAATATATTGTAATGATAATTTCTTAAACATATTCAGTGTTGAGTAAAAGTAATAAATTACAATTTTAAGCCATAGGCCCATACACACTAAGCTTGATAACTGTAAATATAATGATAAAGATATAGTTCTAAAAATTGATAAAGATGCAGAGGGACGATATCATTGAGATTTTTCTCAGCTGATGAATGATCAAACACAGACAACCAGTCTTATGCAATTTAGATACAGAAGCACACTGCATAATTGTACTGCAGGTCCTCTTTGAAATGATTATTCAGAGATAATAATGACGACCGTAAAAAGAACAATTTGTACAAGATTATACGAGAAATATTGAAAAAAAAGGAAAATTTGAAGGTCATGCTGGCAAATTGAAGTATAAAAATTAAAGTACTGCAGGACTCCAGTGCTAGCTTCAGTTTCTTTGTTTTACCTTCTTTGAAAATGCTGGGAAACTGACAATGGTTGCTAAATCTATTGTTTGATGGGATTATACAACACAAGCTCAATATTATGTTTAGATATGTTAGCAGCACACTGAAAATATCTGCTGATTACAGGAGACAATGCAGAATTCAAAGAATAATTTAAAAATAAACTGATCGTTGGTCTGTGTTGGCACAAATATATTTACCGTTATATGTATGGTGTTTGTTGTGAATCTTTTAATATTAATCTTTAGTAAAACAAAAAGCAGAAATAACATAACACATAATTCCACATGTTTACCTTAAAAAGTATCAAAGTAGCTCATTGAAAAAAAAAGTGATTTAAGACTGTAACATTATAAATGCATTACAAATAGCATTTTAAAGGATCCAACCCACCCTAGCCATAGTCTGCTCACGCTCATGCCATCTGGCAGGTGTTACAGAAGCCTGAGGAGCAAATCAGTGCGTTTTCGTGATTGTTTTTATCCTGTCATTATAAGACTTTTCAATAATACCGTATCTTACATACTTTTGAATAGCTAGTATGTAATAATAAATCAATAAATAGTTTAATTAGCACAAAATGTTAATATTACAACTATTTTTGCAAACTCTGCAATAGTTATTTAAGTAATAATTAATTCCCTTCTGTGATTAAAAAAAAAAATTGGGTTATATTTTATATAACTATATATTATATATATATATATATATATATATATATATATATATATATATATATATATATATATATATAATTATAAAAGCTTATTTATTATGTTAGATTTAATAGTGTTTCATGTTTTTTATGTTCTTGTTGGGTCGGATGCAATGTAATTTCGTTCTGTATTACAACTTATTGTGATGTGTTGAATGACAAAAATAAAGGAAACTGAAACTATAATGTGAGACCACTTTGGAAGCCTCCTTATAATGGTAAAACTGCAGCTAAGCTTTAAAGAGTTTGTACCAGCGAGCAGGTTTCCGGCCAGTAGCAGAGCAGCCTGATGGGCAGAGAGATCAAGAGGGAACCAAGCAGAGGAGATGAGAGACAAAACCATACTGGCCACACCGACTGTCAGAGACCTGCGCACCTCCTCATTACTGCCAGACTGAGACAGACTACAGAAAAACAACAACAACAAGACAATCAAGCTTTTGCAGAGATTTAATGAAATATCAACAGCTTTATATTGGTCATGAAGGAAACTTAACTGGTGCAAAGTTTTGACTTTTCCAAACTAACAATCATTATTTTGAGGTTTTTGTACCTAAAGGAGCGTCCTCGGCTGCGGTACTGGCTGGAGCGGTTCAGATGAAAGACGGAAGAGCTCACAAAGCCACAGTGCCAGCCTGTGCTCCAGTTGCAGACTGGGAAGGTGCTGGACAAAAGGCACAGAGCCTCACAACAGCCAAACTGGAGAGAGAACATTACAGTAAGTATAGCCATTAGAGCTTGAGTCCAAATAAGACTCATAATACTTAAAAGGCACAATATCATTTTTGCATTTAAATAATTAAAACAGTGTCAAATATTTTGTTAATGTACACAGTATGAACTTATATTCTGAAATCTTTAAATTAACTTAAATAAAATTTAAATTCAGAGACCACTAATAAATAAATCAATGAAACAGAAACATACTGGTAATTCAAATGACCCAAGAAGACTCTGGTACAAGAACTGGAGCAAAATCAATATTTGCAATTCTAAGATAAGGAAAGACCAGAAACTAGAGAGAGATGACCACCCGGCACGTTTTATTAGACATGTGAGCAATTGTTGAGCATCTTTATATGATTATCTAATACCAGTCTAGCTTAATCCAATGTGTACCAATTGCCCGTGCCAGCCAGAGAGCGAATGCATACAAAAACATTGCAAAATAGCAACATTCAGCAAATTCAAAAATATTTGTTTGATCCTTTTCTTCCACTTAAATTAACTCTGCATTATCATACAATTTAACTTGACAAATAAAGCGGCCTGCAATAGTTTAATTGTATCATTAAACATACTGTATAGTTGCTTTTGTATTCAAGTGAAATGTGAATTCAATTGATCAAACCGCAATTTTTTTTTTTTTTAAATGTGACTCGTTATCTCATCCCTGAGCCTAATATATAAAGTCTCATGTGATTGATTTACATCAACTGTTTTTATGAATATGACAACGCCCATGATTCCACACTCTTGTATGGCATCAACGAGTTACATCTTTGTTATAGCTACTGTTCTAAATAAGCAACCTCTAGTGATGTAGCTTACATATTGCACTAGAGCAGGGATGCCCACACCTTTTCGTTTGAAGGACCAAAAACAAATATCATTATGAGCCGTGGACCAAAGGTAAATATTTATTTACTATATTATATTAAAGCGGCCATGGCTAATTTCCTAATTTATTTAATAATATTTAAAAATTAATCAAAAGCAGAACAACTTTTACAATGATAGCTTATTGTAATAAAAACATAACAGCAAACAGTGGAATTCAATGCTGAATACAGTAGTCAAGCAGAATCTGCCTTTGCCTAGATTTGCTCACCAAAGTTTCTGCATTGTCCTCTATCCGTCAGGTGACAGTATGTATATTTAAACTAAATCTGATCAATTTGCAATATTTAATTGAAGCATTTAATTTCAGTTAGCGTTTAACAATAAACAAACAAAAGGTTACATTACATTTGAAATGACAATCTCTAAAGCTTCCCCATCATTCTTCCTTTCTTCTCAGATGGCATGGCAGGCCAAATCAAAGGTTACCATGGGCCACCTTTGGCCCGCAGGATCTAGTTTGGGCATCTCCGCACCAAAACAATCTTTAGTGATGAATCCTTATATAGTTTCCCCTAAACTTACTTTCTAACCATTTTCAAGCCCACAGAGGCCTTTCATCGATGTAATTTTGTTTGTTAAATAAGGCTTAAAAAAAAAAATAATGAAAATGAGTCATGTCTTCTTAAAAAAAGTGTGTGGGCTCTCAGTATTTAAATATGCAATAAAAATGAAAGTGTGGCCTTTATAGTATGTTATCATAGTTAAAGTTGATGTGCTCACTGTCATGGCTCTGGAAGTGGAGGAGGTGAGGGCATGAGAGATGGCAGTGATGACCCGCGACAGGTTGTTCTCCACAGTAACATCCGGCGCGCTCTGACACAGATTGAAGCCACGGTATGTTCTGTAATAAATGGGAACATACAATACATCAGATTAAACTCATTAGTCATTACCATTGAAAAATCTAGGGATAATAATCAAAACAAAAAGAAAATAAAAATCTAAACAAAACAAAATGAGATGAGGAAGAAAATATTCCCTCAAACAGGTGGGGTTTGAGGACAAAAACCTGGAAAAACAACTCTTGTGTGTCTTGAAAAACAACATGTGCACAGGTGTGGTTACCGTAGTATAAGCGGAATAATTAACTCCTGTCTGTTGAATTGTTAGTAAATAATGCAGACCTGAGGAGAAACGCCATAATGTGATATTAGGTGTTAACAGCCCAAATATTTTTAATCTAAAATTACTTTCAGATTTCTACTTAATGTTTTTAACAGACATTTAAAATTATAATGGCTTAAAATATCTCAGTCAAAATTTATATGCGATTCATATGTGTGTAATTTAATTAAATAAAAGCATAACGCAATATATTGGATTAAAACCTTTCACCTATTAACAGATTTAATTTGAATATTTTAATGCTTTTATCATACTCTTCGATTAGTAAAACATTTCAAAACAATAGAATTTATTTGAAATAATCAGTTCAGAAATTAGAAATGTTTTAAATTCATGTTTAATAAATCTAATGCATTTTCTTGAAATTAAATAACAGGTATTCTTTAAAAACAAATGTAAATCCATGCTGTAAATGGAGTGTGCCTACCGTGTGATAGTGCTGACAGTAAACTGTGACGGAGGCTGGGTCTCATGCATTAGCAGTTGCAGGTGAACGCTACTCTGATCTCGAGCGATGGCCACAACCGGGTCTGTCTGGCCCTGGTCGCAGTCGAAGAACAGCCTTGGCACCAGCCTGAAGAAAGAAACCATTTCAAATGAGACTAGGATAGCTTTAATGTGTATAACTGGAGATGATAGGTGTGAGATGATTACCTGCCAATGGTGTTTGCTGCCACATGTCTCACACGCGGGTCCTCATCGCCCAGTAGATAAAGCACAACGTCATTCAGAACTCTGTCCTGCAGCCTCAACAGCTGCTCAGAAGACAAAAAAAGTTATTAAAATACTACATGTTTCACACTGTGTATTAATTAACCTTACATTTGTATATACAAATATATGCGCATTGATAAGAGGTATTTAAATATATTGAAAAAATAGTAGCATTTTCATTTACTAAAAAAATGAAATAACTTAAATTAAAATAAAAAAACTATGTAAAATAGAACTTCTAATCAGAAAACAAAACATATTTACGAAAACTTTAACGCAAAATAAACATAAAAACAACATCTGAAAATAATATTCTAACTAATTAAATCTAAACAAGCTAAATATTAATTGATATAATTTATTGAATTTTTATCGATACAAAATGTATATTGTTAAATGTATTGCTTTGCATTATACACAAGTCATCTGCAAACAGCACAAAGGTGCCTTCATCATTTTCATTTAATTATTAATTATACATTAAAAGTCGTTTGAAAGATGCCATACCCCAGTATAGTGATGCTCTCCTTTGTGCAACTTCTCAGTTTTCCTCTCCAGAAAACTTATTAACCTAAAATAAACCATAAAAACAGTAGAAGAAATTAAAGTGTTGGAGCTTGACATCAAACCTAATTAAGAAACCCTCATTCATATCCAAGCAAAATGTTTGTCTCACCGAAAATCGATTTCCGCAAGCGTCTCTAAGAGCTCAGTGCGAACCAGCCAATAGGAGCAGTTCTTCAGGGTCAGCAGATCAATGAGCAGCTGAAGGCCAAGTTCACTAAGACTTCCATTGCACAACGCCATGATACAGTGCTAGATTAAAAACACACACACAATAATATTATCAATACATTTTTAAACATAATAGTTTAATATCTCATTTCTAATAACTGATTTATTTGATTTTTGCCATGATGACAGCAAATAATATTTGACTTGATATTTTTCAAGACCCTTCTATACAGTTTAAAGTAACATTCAAAGGCTTAACTGGGTTAATTAGGTTAACTAGGCAGGTTAGGGTAATAAGTGTTTAAAACTCTGGTCTAGACGTCTTAAAAATGTCACATTCTATTAAAGGCTTGACAGTGATGACACATTGGTGGTACATAATTCTTCAATAAACACAAGTGTGTGTCAACTTGTGACCAGGGGGCTGTTCCATAAACCAAGCTTCGAGAATAAGCCAGGCTTATTTTGGTAAGTCAGGTTTATTAATGGCAGATTCCGTTTCGTAAATCAAATTTAGAATATTTCAAACTCAGATACTCTGGCTTATGCTGGGAAACTAGCCTGGGCGGGGCAGGTTAACTCTCCGGCTAAGTCAAGTTCAAGCTTAATCGAAGTAATGTTAACATTCGCCTGCTGTAATTTGATGCCATTTTATTTCACTTAACCTCTTAATAGTGATTAAAACTTTAGTCACTTAATAGTAAACACATATACACCAAACATCTTTAAGAACAGATTTATACATTTAAATTAAAATAAGTTATTGCAAACAAAACAAATACAAACCACAACATTTTAAATCATTTTTTATATTTTTACTGTGTATTAAAATTTTACTTGATGTTTTCCTCTAACATATTCATTTGGGTGTGCTCATTTTTGGACTCCTCTTCACTTTATTTGTTGTTAGATTAGTTCCAAATTTTGCTTTAGTACTGAATAATCTAATGTTTATGCACTAACATAATATTATAAAGCATTCTGTAGAAAATAATAATCAAAATATTGAATTGTAAGGGGTGTACTTTGCTATATATATAGTATATGGATTACAAATTTTATTAAAGAACATAATATTAAGAAAGCACTTACTGATATAAAGAAGTAGGCTACATTTCTTAAAGAATGGCTTTAAAGCCGCAAACCCTGAGTGGAATAATGGGGTGATGGATCCGGGCCGAGCGGTAGCCTCACTTTAATGTAAATATATTATCCCACGGGGGTGCGGAAACACACGTGACAAAGGGAAAGCAGCATTCTGCAGCGGTTTCGGCAGCAAACTAAAAATCCTACTGCTTTTGCATGCACGGCTCTTGCCATTATTTTAAACTTAATGTGCAGAAGTTAAGCACATCTTGTATGTTACAGCGAGCCTGCATTGCATTAAAACTTTTCCTTGCAAGTAACAATTGGGCGCGCATTCTCTCTAGCTCTCTCTCTCTCTCGCACGTGCGAGCAGTCAAGCTAAATTTCAATGTATTGCGACAAATATTGAATTTAACGTTAATAGGCCTAGATAATGGTCTATTGTCAAATTGAGACGATAAGCAATTTCATGTCAGCTTCTCTCATGCTTTGTTGCAAGCCTTAGTTTTTGATTATTATGTTTAAATTATTATATGTTTGAACTAAAAACAAACGCTGCTCACTGGCTGTGAACAGCTGTGTCTCATTTCAGAGCTCTTTCAATTCTCGTAGTTGCCATGGTAGCACACAACATAATTGATGCATCTACGCTCGACCTTCTGGGTTTCGCTACAGTAACGTGCACGAGCAGTTATCTAGATTATTTAAACTGAACTCAGATTAGTTAGATCAAATGATCTTCAACTTGCTGTAAACGAACTAATTTAAGCGTGGACATTTAGTTCGGCTCATTGAGTCAGGTTTTTGACTTTCTCAACCACTTGTATAAAACAGTTCGCCATCTGATACAAACAGCCTGGTCAATCATATATGCTTGCAAAACTTTTGTTACAAACAGAAGAGTTGACAAATTAAACTAAAAAGTCTTGTTCTTTTGTCAAAGGTAGCAAAAAAAGATGACGCGAAGTGGTGTAAGAATGAAAATTATCATATGCATTTGTTTATATGGCAAAACATGTCTTTTCACCAAGAAGGTCCATACAGACTCCAAAGGCAGATACTGATTAGATCAGGGCCTGGTATGTGGACTTTAGGGGTTTGGTGGTCACATGTTGATTGGTCAGTCTGTGTGTCTCAGTATTTAGGCTTTAGTCATATTGTCACGAAACATACAAAATAGTTGCTAAACTTTTCTCTGTCTCTTTTCCTGTTCTGCTCCTTTCCTTCTATCTTCTCTGGCTCTACTGCTATCTGGCTCTCTTTGAGACCTACTTACTGCTCTTTGTCTCTCTCTCTCTCTCTCTCTTTCCCCCTGTTTATTTATTTCTCATGTAACTTTATTTTACATTTAAGCTGGGCACAATTATTATTGTATGTTTTTACTATTTTATGTGTTATTATTTTATACAGTTATGTGTAACTAAGGCGAGGCAGTGGCGCAGTAGGTAGTGCTGTCGCCTCACAGCAAGAAGGTCGCTGGGTTGCTGGTTCGAACCTCGGCTCAGTTGGCGTTTCTGTGTGGAGTTTGCATGTTCTCCCTGCCTTCGAGTGGGTTTCCTCCGGGTGCTCCGGTTTCCCCCACAGTCCAAAGACATGCGATACAGGTGTATTGGGTAAGCTAAATAGTCCGTGGTGTATGAGTGTGTGTGTGAATGTGTGTGTGGATGTTTCCCAGAGATGGGTTGTGGCTGGAAGGGCATCCGCTGCGTAAAAACTTGCTGGATAAGTTGGCGGTTCATTACGCTGTGGCGACCCCATATTAATAAAGGGACTAAGCTGACAAGAAAATGAAGGAATGAATGTGTAACTAATTCAGTTTTAGAGAATTATTGTCATTAAAACATTTCATTATCAATTATTTGTGAATTACTTTTGATTTAACATCAACACTCAATTGTTCCTTTTTGCAATACAATACAATCACATAATAGCAACGCTCTCCCACATTTTTAGCTATTATTACTGCCCTTATTTCTGTTTTTGGTATAAGATTGCAGTATGATGGTTTGACTAGAAATGTAGTTTTCACCATCAAACTGATAACTTTTCAGTCATTCGGAAGAAGTACAGCTCGAACCGCTGTAGTTTAAAACAAAAAAATTCTTACAGTGGCATGTTTGGCATCCACTGAACTTTTTCAAATTAACAGGTTTCCAAAAATATAAAATTTTTGCTTTGAAATGCAAAATGAATCTCTAAATGATAGGATTACCCATGTACATATGTATTCTTACCCTGACAGCAGCACAGGCCATTTTACAGGTGACTGAAGATTCGTCTTTTAGACTCCTCTGCAGCAGAGGCACAAAGTTTTCCAGCGTCACAGAGCTTCCTGAGGACACAGAGAGTCTGAGAATGTGAAGACAGGTCTCAGAGTATATGATTTATTGAACTGTGCAGTGGCTGTAGTTCTGACCTGTGACGCTTTGGATCTGGGACAGCCATGTCTCCGTGTTGTAGCGCGTTTTGAGCTGAATGGCTTGAATTAAAGCTCCACACAGGATGGCTGTGGCTCCTCTGATCTGATGGTCTCCATGTTCAATGTACTGCAGTATATCGCTAATGTACTGTTGCTCTACACACACACACACAAACTCATTTCAGGGCGACAGTGAAAATGATCAGTTTTGAACATTTATCTTAAATGTTTGTACAAATAGCCACTCAAACATAAAAAAGGCTATTAAACTTAAAAAAAATAAATAAAAAAAACTGATGTGGAACCAAAACAGAGTAACAAAAACAAAAATGTGGAATAAAGCAACAAACAAAAAACAAGTTAAAGATTTCAAAATCAAAATAAAATGACAAAAAAATGAAATTAAAATAAATCGCTATTCTTAATAAAAAGATTTAAAAAGTATAAAACACACTAAACCTAAAATATACCAAATCTAAAAACAATAAACAAGCCAAACATGAAACAGAACAAAAAATAAACAAATAAGAGCAAAATAAGTGGTCAAAATATTCTAAAAGTAAAACATTAACAAAACATCCAAAACCCAAAACCAAAACACCTAAATAAATAAAAGCAAAAAGTTACCAAACAAAATGACCCAAGCTTATCAAAATCAAACATATAAAAGCAAGACACTGAAATAAACCAAAATAACCTAATCTTGAAAACAAACCAAAAACACGAGTGTGCAAAAAATGTGTGTATAAAAAAACAAACAAATAAATAGCTTTTAATAAAATTAAACAAAAACACAAAACTAAGCTAAACAAAACAAAGTACCATAGACCAAACAAAAACAAGAAGAAAACCTCCCAAAACAAAACACTCATGGATGAACAGCTAGGGACCATTGTATTTCTCACCTTCTGTTTGTTGTCCATCCAGTGGCTGCAGATAGAGCAGGTTGAAGAAGGCTTCAGGTAGAAGAGCTGCTGCTGCCCCAACACAGCTAACAGCTAACGCCTTCACGCTCACACGCACCTCATTATCGGGAACCAGCCCTACAGCATATACACATTTCATTTTTCATTTACAAAAGCTTTCTTTAATGTTCAAGTACAACAGCACCCAAAAACATTTGATGATATTTTGATACAGTAAGAATTCATCTGATAGCTTGTGTCTAATTTCTCACCGTTTCTTTGGCCAGTGAGCAGGAATGACGCAGCCAACAGCCGGACACAGTGCATCAGAGGCTCTTCCTTTGGGTCAGTATAGTGACCAATATCTCCTTTAATCCTCGATGGCTGAAGCACACCGAACATACATAAAATATTTACAGACTGTACTGCATCTCTTAAAAGAATTTCTGAGGCCTTAACAAAGACTGTGTTTGTTCACCTTGTTGTCGAGTTCTGCAGGCTCCAGAACCTCTTCCTTTGGTATGAATCGATCCACACTGCTGTCAGATGACTGCCTGTTGTGACCTTTTCCCTCCAGCAGATGGGGCTTACTTAAAGCTGATGACAAAAGAGAGAAAAAACTACTTTGTGAAGGATGATGAGTGACAACAATGTGCACTTTAGACCAGAGCATTGAGTAGTGTTGTTACGATCCTGAAAGTTCTAACTTCAATACAATGCCAGAAACATAACATTTTCAATACCACAGAGAAACACGGCCACAGAATTTACTTAAAAACAACAAACAAGCTAATAAATAATAATAATAAAAATAAATAATAAAAATATATACACACACACACAACAGTTCTGTCTGATTCTTAAACCTGATTGGCTGATAGCCATGTAATATTCTGCACAATAACAGCACTCGTCCAGCCTTTTATCTCTTCACCCTTGTGTATTAATCCACCTACATCCAGCGACAAGCACAGGACACTCTACAGTTTGACAAATATTGCTGCTGTTGGGAAACATAATGTACTTTTGAGGCTTTTTTTAGTCGAGAATGTACTTTTTTTTAGATTACAACTATGCAGTTTATTTATAAGGATAGTGCCTATTTTTTAATATTTATAATTTCTGAAAGACAGCGCGTTGGGGGCCATTAGCCTGTCTTTGAGCAAAGCTAGTTGGCGATGTTAACCACATGATAAGCCCCAAGACAAAAACAGCAGAATTTCAAACAACAGCTGATCAAATCATTATTTAACAGGTTCATGACTATCTAAGTTATCTCTTATTTGTGTGTTGTAGTGCTGTATTCATACCATAGTAATATTGTGATCTCCTGATTACAACAAAGAAATACTGGGAAATGTCAGTAGACAGATGACCCTTCATGCCATTTAGCCTTATAATCTTAAAATGTCAACTAAATCACCTGTTTTGTCATCAGTTTAGACATTAAACTAGAGAATCATTCAAACACTAGCTCTAAAGTGACGTTTATGAAGTAGCAGTGGTTCCTGCCATCTAACTTTCTAATAAACGATGCCATGTAGCATTATAATAAATTCCACAATTAGCTTTTATTCTTAGCTTTAGATTTCATTTACTAAAACAACCTCGATTTTCAGCATCAACTATTTAATGAGTAACTGTATACTCTAGAATAGATCAAATGAACAAAGTGAAGTGATTAGACTGTGATGCCTGTAAAACCACAGCCATTAACCGGCCTAAACGAAAGTGTGAAAAATTGTCAACATCGATATTTATCAAAATATTAATATTTTTAAATAAATGAATAAGTGTGAAAAACGGAATGAGTGTGTACCCAGTGCTGACTGAGAGAAAGGTTCTGGAGGCTTGTCAGGTGGTGGAGCCGAGCCCTCCTCCTCCTCATCCTGCAGTGTGCCGATCTGCATCCCTGAGTACTGACTCTCACTGCCATCCAGCACCTACACATCAGACATATTTACAGTTCAAAACCATCCCAATGAACCGAACTCGCAAACATTCACAGCAGCTCATTCATGCACATGGCCACAAAGAACAAATCACAGTCAACATGCGCTTTCACTTTAAGGAATGCATAAAAACGCTGTCTTTGGAAAAGAAGCTGTATGCATGTCATGACAATTTTGGGCCTCACAAAAACCAAATGTAGGCTGTTGCTCTAATGTCACTTGCATTAACAAAAAATTGCTGCTGATTTATGCAATTGTAAGTTGTTGTTTTGTAGTTTGGCTGAAGGGGGATCAAATTCGAAGCTATTATAATTTTTATTTTTATTTTAAAAATATTTTTTGGTTTCATTTTAAGTCATTAATTACCTAGTTGTAATGGGCACCCTTTAGCTATATTTTATTATTATTCTTAAAGTGATTGTAATTCCTAAAGTGTCAATTTACCAAATGATTAAATTTGTTATAATAGTCAATAACTTTGGAAAATAATACAATTTGCTTTGCGTGAAAACATTAAATATATTCTATATTTAATATACAAAGAAAATATTAAATATATTACAGTTCTTTCAGTAGGTGCGTCCCAAATTGCATACTTGCGTACTATTCTTTGCCATTTTGTAGTATAAATAGTGCAAGTAGTGCGTTCACACTGAAAACTTTAAAAATGATAAGTGCACTTTAATTACCCGGATGATGCACTTATTCAACTAGTATAATGAAGTGTGTTATGTTGGCACTCAACGTCTGCTGCATTGCTCATGTAGTGGAATGGGCGAAGCTATAGGGCACTAATGCTGGATTCCTTTATTTATATCTGATTGTAAAGGCAAAATTCTCCTGTGAGAATGATTATAGTGCCTCCCGATGATGAATGCGGTTATACTCATGGCAGGTATTATTTGGTAGATTGGTCATTTGTTTTGCTAATTTGGAAACGTCATCAGGGAAACTGTTTGAATTTCCGCTCAGTAAAAAACATTAGTGTTCTATTTGGGACGACACTACACTCATATACTATGCTGTTGAGTGTGTAAGTGTGCATTTGGGACACAGCTAGTTTCTGCTAATGAGCTAATCACCTGAATCAGGTGTGTTTGGTTAAGGAGACATGGAAAATGTGAAGAGCTGGTGGTCCTCCAGGAACGTGGTTGAGAAACACTGGTCTACAGCAGGGCTGTTCAAACTTTTTCTTAAGGGAAAAAACCCAAGCTTGATTGAGAGCTGTAGGCCGAGGGTAAATATAGCAAACTATATAACATTAAAGTTGCCCTGGGTAATTTTCTCATTTGTTTCATAATAATTAATAATCAAAAGAAAAGATTACTTTAACTGTATTTACTAATGAACTTGAATCATTTTTCGAAAATGTATATTATTTTAACGAACTTTGCCTTGATTTGCACACTGACGTCTTCTGCTTTGCAGACACTACATACATTTTTGAAACATTTAATTTCATTTTTGTTTGGTTGTTTTGTAGCTTTTGTAGCTCAACAAAAAACAAACAGACAAAAGGCGACATTAAAATAGAAATGAGAATCTCTGTTAAAGCCATTACCCAACCCTTCCCAATTATTTTTCCTCTGGTGGGCAAAATCAAAGGATACAAAGGGCCATCTTTGGCCTGTGGGCCCTAGTTTGGGCATCTCTGGTCTAAACACTTCATTTATAGGAATTAATTTTTTAGATACAGTAAAAATGTTTTGAAGTGTATTGAGTTTTTGATGTATAAACTTGCAAACAGTGACAAATGTCTCCAATCTCATTACAAAAAACACATTTATTAAACATTTTTGGGGTGAACTAACCTTTTAAAAGTACATTTATATTTATTTTTATTTAATATTTGTTTTGTTGTCCTCAAAAAAAGCTCTTAAAACTGATCTGACATCAGCATCCATCTAATTGGGATTGGGTTTTTAGTTACTGGTCCAGAATTAGGGAAATTTCAGGCGATGAAACGCCTCAGGATAGAGGTCGTGCATTTGTGGGGGTGGGACAAATAAAGGGCAGAGCTCTATGATGGGCGGGGTTATACCGGGCGGGGAAGAGCAACAATAGCCTCACCCCCCGTCCTCTGCTGACCTGGTCACTACTGCTAGAGGAAGAGATGGCAGAAAAGGTGGAGGAAGAAGACGAGGTAGAGGAGGTGGAAGAAGAGGACGGCCTGTAGACGGATGAGCCGCTTTCCGATTGCGTGTCCGGCCCTTCTGTTAGAGTTGGGGAAGGTGGTGAATATTTCCGATAGCGTCTGCTGGTGCTGGTGACACTTACGAGCTCTGCGCAGTCAGAAGGCGTCACGGCGGAGTCCGGCCCCTCCGTAGTCGTCTGAGAACTCTCGCTAGGGGGAGATGAAGACACGGCTCCGGCTGACATCTGGTTGGCATCGGTTACCAGGTCGCCGGATGTGCTGACAAGCCCGGCGCCTCCGCTTGAGCTACGGCTTAGCATGTCTTCCTCGTCTTCCTCATCTGGAGTATCAGGCCCGACTCCCTGCTCTGATGCACTCAGGTCCACCGAGTCACCAGGCTGCAAGGCATGCTGGGAGGAGCGTGGCTGCTCAGTGATGATGTCAGACGTGCCGAGAGACGAAACACCTGATGAGGAGGGAGCTTCACTGGAGCTGTCACCACCGACAGAGGCTTGAAGAAACATGACAGAGGGAAACAACACATTATTCTCAAATACAAGCCTCAACAACAAAGTAAAATAAGAAAATGAATTATACTTTTTTTTAATTAAATCTCTTTATCATCATCATCAAAATATTATAAAACACTATTAGAATAAGCTGTTTATATATATATATATATATATATATATATATATATATATATATATATATATATATATATATATATATTATTATTTTTTTTTTTTTTTGCAAAAACTAAATTATTCCTGTGATGGCTAAGCTGAATTTTCAGCAGCCTTTAGTCTCACTATTCTCAATAAAACAAACTAATATGCTGAGTTGGTGTAGATTAATAATTACCACAAGGTATCTTGATGAATTCTGTTAATGAATCAAATACACTTTTGAAAACACACTTATTACCAAAATAAACCTTGTGAAAATGAATAAAACAAATATAAGAACAAAACAACATCCTTTACCTTGTTCTCTATTGAGAACAAGGGACCTACGACTTACAGTATACAGTGTTTAAGCACAATGCAGGTTTGTATGCTCCGGGCCTTTTTTACAGTATTCCTGCTCATGGATTCAGGTTTCTTCATTGGGGTATTTCTTTTTTTAATATTTAAATTTTATAGATTTTTTTTAACAAAACGGGGAAAATATTTACATACATAGACATGAGATATTTCAAACTATTTTTTATCCATACTTGAGAAATGGCAGGAAACCTGTGGCTCTTTGACCAAAAATTCATGTCTCTCAAACAGTCTACCTTCAATGATATTTTACAGTTTAAAAATGTATAATTGTCACTAGAAATCAGTTTCGTATTGAAAATACAAATAAAAAGTTATTATTATTATTATTATTTTTTTTTTACAGCAAAATGATTAAGAACCTAGTTTACAATAAAAAAAAAACACATTTCAACCAATGTGTGTGTGCTGGGCTGTGGATAAACACCAATAATATATCCATACACTACCGGTCAAAAGTTTGAGAGCAGCAGAATTATTTTTAAATGCTTTAAAATAAGTTTCTCCTGCTTAACAAAGCTGCATTTATTTAATCAAAAATACAGTACAAATTGTAAAATTGTGAAATGTTATCGCAGTATAAAATAACTGTTCAAATGTAGTTTTTGATTTAATTTAATAAATTTTCCAGTGATTTTAAAGATGAAATTTCAGCCTCATTACTCCAGTCTTCAGTCACATGATCGTTCAGAAATCACTCTAATATTAATATTAACAATAATAATAATAATAATAATAATAATAATAATTATTATTATTATTATTATTATTATTATTATTATTATTATTATTAATGGTAATGGTAATAAAAGCAATAATGACTGGAGTAATAATTTCATTTGAAACAATATACAATAAGTAATTACAGGGTATACAGTATGCAGGAATCCTAAAAGTAATTCCAATATCCTTTTAAGCAGAGATGTATAGTAACGAAGTAGAACTACTTCACTACTGTACTTAAGTACTAAAAGGCAGTATCTGTACTTTACTTGAGTATTATTTTTTTCTCCTACTTCCACTTTTACTTAAGTACATATTTTCCATGAGTTTAATACTTTTACTCCGATAGATTTTTTATGTGCTGCATCGTTACTCGTTACTAGGGGTGTCAAAATGATCGATATCAGTTCAGTAATAGGTCATAACCGGTGATTACGTGATGACGTCATTTATCTCCTATGCGCGATGTCGCAATACTATTGCGGAGGACGGAGGCGCGAGTGAAGGCGGCACACGAGCCGCTAATTTACTATTAGGGAGAAATGTTGTAAAACTTCACCTCTGCCTCTCTCTTTCTCACTTTGGACATTTGACCCGCTGGCCTGTTTGTAAGGTAACTTTCCCTCTTTTCTTGGCTGTTAAAGCTGTCGATCCATCCAGACACGAGCGTGCCTGATGTTCAAGTTTTCTCCACTGTGTCTATTACCTGTGATAACCGCGTATTCTTCCCGCCATGGGTGAACAGCGATCTTTTCTAAAGCCCTTTCTGTTGAGCAGATGAAGATAATAACCAATCATCATAAGACCTCGCCTGTCAGCGCTCAAAAAGCAGGCGGTGTAATATTGACATGAGTTTATTAGCTGTAAATGCTCATGCTGTCTTCTGTGCATGAGTTTTGTTTGATACATTCAGAAAGAGTGCTTTCTTTAAGCAGGTCAAATTAAGAGTACAGTTCATATATCTGACCACTGTATTAAAGAACAAAATTGTATTAAAAATAACCCTATAACTGTCACACCAAGACAAAAGCAATATATTTATGCAATATAAAAGCAATAAGTGCAAGACCAATTTAATTAAAAACATAATCAAAAAAAAAAAAAAAACAATACTAAACCATAGCCATAAGCCATAAAGTATTTTAGAGTTTCTTTTAACACAGTACTATACACACTTTCCTGTTTTTCTTTTTTCTTTTTTTTTTACAATAAAATAAAAATCAAGTGAATTAGTGCAACAGGATTTAGTTTGCTTGTTTAGTTTAGTTTCACGACTGCTTCCAGAAGACATAACTCCTGTTTATTGTGGTATTAACCAATCAAACTTCAAAACTACCAAAGTGTGAGTGTGTGTGAGTGAATAATGCATGTAAGAGAGAAACAGTGTGATTGTACCTGTGTGTGCGTCTGTGTGTGTGTAAGAGAGAGAGAGAGAGAGAGAGAGAGTGTGTATGAGAGTGTAAAAGAGTGTAATTTCGTGTTTGTGTGTGTGCGCGCCCATGTATATGTATAACAACATCGGTATTACACAGATGTTAGGAGGAGATGGTGAATTATGTGGACATTATGTATAAAATTCAATCACACTAAATATTTTTTTATTTTCAGAAAGTAAAACTACACATAATTTCCTGTAAGGGTTGGGTTTAGAGATTGGATTTGGGGTTAGAGCATTCAAAAGTTTGTAGAGTATAAAAACAATTGTAACCTATGTAATGTCCCCACAATTCACAAAAGTGTGTGTGTGTGTGTGTGTGTGTGTGTGAGAGAGAGATAGAGATAGAGTGAGAACTGTGTGTGAGAGTGTATGAATGTGTAAGAGTGTACATTTAGGTGTGTGTGTGTGTGTGTAAAAGAGAGAGAGAGAGAGAGAGAGAGAGAGAGAGAGAGAGAGAGAGAGAGAGAGAGTATGAATGAACATGCTGAATTATCTCATCAGTGAAGTGATTTTCTGGTAAAAGAGCCTGACGATGTGAATTCTTGTACCATAGAAATTATTTACAGAGAAAAACAGTATCGTAAGCCATGTTTCTTTTCATTCTGCTTAATCAAGTGCCCTAAAGATATTTAAAATAAACAAAACAATATGATGTCTTTTGACTGCTTTCTTTAATAACTACATTACACAATACTTGTACTTTTACTTTCAGTACTTGAGTAGTAAATTTTGACATAAACTACTTGCAATACTTAAGTAGAAAAAATGTTGAATACTTTTGTACTTCCACTTAAGTATGGTGCTTAAAGAGCACTTCTACTTCTACTCAAGTCACTTTTTGATAGAGCACTTGTACTTTTACTTAAGTATGGGTCTCTAGTACTTTATACATCTCTGCTTTTAAGACTTTAAGACCTTCTCTAAATATTTTTAGACCTCATCGCTTCCTAAAGTTCTAATCAGTATCAAACCTTTAACATAATAAACTGTTGTTAATAAACAGTTGTAGTTAAATAAATCAATGGAGCACAACCATGCAACAGAACTTAAATAAGCTCAGAGGAAACAAAGCTTGAAAGAATAAATTACGCGGCTGTTTTCAGCGACAGGCTTCAGCCACTGTTCAAACTTGTCTTTCTCCAAGCAGGAGTACGCAAACTTACATTTTCCCATTTTGCCATCTGTTTCGTCACATCACCTTCCTGCGTATGTCGCAAATTATGTGACATCACCCGATTGGAGGAGCTTGGTCAGACGCGGCCCGAACCAATCGCTTGGATCGAGCACGCCGTTGTTAATATTAGGAGGAAAATAAATATATTTACTCTTTTTTTGGAGTCAGACACTTTGGACAACGCTTAAACAAAATTTTACATCTCATAAAAAGACTTTTTAATACCTTTTAAGGTACTTAATATGCTCATAATTGATTTATCAACTTTAATTACTTTTTAAGACCCCACAGACACCCTGGATAAATTATTATTTAATAAATAATGCTGCCTTGATGAACAGAATAACTTTCTTTCTTTTCTTAAAAACAGCCTCAAACTATTGACTGGTAGTGTACATATACATAAATAAAAATATAAACATACCCCAATGGCTCTTTAAAAAAATGCATTTGCCAAAAAAAATCTAAAATGGCATTTCTTTTTTTTTTCCTTTGCTGAAAAAAGGTTCCCGAGCCCTGTTCTAGAGGAAACTCTCAGGAGTGAAGCGTAACAGCACAGCTCTCCTCAACTTACCAGTGAAGGATCCTGTGGTAACCTCTGCCCTCTCAGGATCATCCTCCAAACCCTCTTCTTCACCTGACAACAGTTTGCCTAATAAAAGCATAACATACAATGCATATTGTTACAACACCATTTTTCTACTATAAACAACATCTCAACAGCTTTTAATAGTCTAAAACTACAACCACACATTTATTAGCAAACTGTGTGATGGCCAGAAACGTGTCAGTAGGTTAGATGCAAAAGAAGGGCAGACAAGAAGTCACCTTTCTGCTTCCTGAGAAGGAGAGGACTGCATGTTGACCCGCCGGCTGTATGCAGGAAACAGGAAGAGAAGAAAAAGCCCAGCAATTCAGTTTGAGGGTTAGAGGAAGAAAGAAGCACAGGATTAGGAGCACATGCTTGGTGAGATCTAGAAAATTGGTTTGCAGGGAATTTTGAAGGCACCGATTTGTAATCGGCTAACAAGGAGAATATAAAATGCCAAGAAGCAGTGAAGGAAATATTAGTAGCTGAATTTAAAGACAGCCTGTTATTGGTGAGTTATAAAGAACTTGATCAGCACAAAAGCCATTTAAACCAATAAAGGAAACCTTGAGAAAACTTCAGTTTTCAACAGGTAATCGGCACTAAAAGCTGCTTATTGTTAATTGTTTTATATTAGTATTCTACCATTGCACAACTAGGCAAGGAAAAATAATTAGCAATCTATAACATGAGCGCATAATATTTATACAAAAACACAAATAAAATAATCAATTCGTCAGCGAGCCAGAAGTCAGTTTATTTATTTTTTTACATTTAATTAACTTGAACAAACATAAAATTATTACAATATTATTATTATTATTATTATTAAAGTAATAATACAATAAATATAGTTATTACTGTATTTAATAACTTTGTATATATATTATTAATTTCAAATTAAATACAATTTCTTGTTTATATTACTGATATTAATACAGCAGTCCCATGCCATAACGTGATTCACGTTTCGAGGTCTCACAGTTTCACCAATTTTTTTCCATGCAATTTGACATGGGTTTTTTAAGCGCATTGTGTTCTGCGTCCTGATTGGCTGTAGACCAACATCAATCAATTTCCTCCGTGCTGTGTCCCCTGTACAGTTCAGAATGTGTTTAGCTTGCCAAATTAACATAAATCTTTAATCGCTAGCAGTTCGACTCTGAAGCGCTGTACGTGTTCGCAAGTTTTCTCCCCAACAAACCTGATAACGTCAACGAAACATTCTGCAGTATGAAAGCATCTTCAGTAGCATCCAAAAGGCAGAGGAAGATGCTAACCATCGCTAAATTAAACAACAGACAACTGTGAAAATGTTAATGCCTATCTGAGAAAAGTGTATAAAGCATGTAGTGAGGGGTTTTAGAGCCTTAAAACATCTATAATAAGTGTAAAAAATTAATAAATAAATAAAGCGGACGACTTTGCGGATTTCACCTATTGCGGGCTATTTTTAGAACGTAACTCCCGCGATTAATGAAGGACCACTGAATTCTGCAAATGTATAAACTGGTTGACTTTATGAATCAAACAACAACCTTTTTACTCACTTTTACTGCTTTTTCACTGACTGTAAATAAATAAATAACTGAACTAACTAACTGCTATTGTCCAGTGATGGAATAAATTCATCAGATTTTTTACCAATAAGCTCGAGGATGCTGCCACTGCGTGCACGGCTCTCCACCTCTTCTCTGAAGACACTGGTGTGTGTTATTTTGCCTCGCGTGATCAGTACGTTCAGGAGCTCGGGTGGAGGGGTGCGAAACATCTGCTGCAGAAGCTCCAGAGATGCAGTCACCACATTGTGATCCCAGTGCTGTGTGTAGTGCAGGGTCAGTTCATAAACCTAAGAACACAAGAAGAGGTTTTACATGCGCACAAACACACAGCCACACACAGCGAATCACTTATAGGTCGTTTTTCCACCTGATATCAACATTTGTTTCCAGCAACGTGATCACAAGTGATCAGAAAACACACATCACAGTTTCCATCTGGTTTTAAAGGGTACAGCTGGAATTTATTTATGCAGTACAAATTTACAGCACTAATCTAAAAGGTTGCATTTGCTAATTTGCTAAATTTAAAATTTTAGCTAAAATGATATACTTTAAAAAAAAAAAAAAAAAAAAGTGTTAATGACTTTTATATCTAAATATCTTTATTGACTAATCGGTCCCACTTTATATTCAGTGTCGCTTATACCTGTGAACTTACACGGTAACTAGATGTGTAAGTAGTATGTAACTACAGTGTATGTGCACACTGGTACATAGAACTTACCTGTTTAATACTGGATTAACTACACACATGTAACAACACACTGAATAGTATGTGTAAGTTCAAATTATTATATTTTGTATAATAATATATTTAAGATATAAAAAATTCTCAAACCAAGAAGCATTTCCAAAACATGTAAAAAAAAATTTTTTTTTAATAAATTATTTACATTTTTTCCTTAAAACAAGCCAAATTATACTTATTTCTAACCCAAAACAAAATTATTGTATTTACCCCACTGGCAGATTATTTTGCTTGTTTTAGGGAAAAACTCGCTTAATTTCCACCATTTATAAAAAAACAACAACACATTTGTACTTTTTATTAGATTAAATTAGTTTTGATGAGCAGAGAGGACTTCTTTAAAAGCATGTAAAAGTCCTACCAATCCCAAAATTTGGGAGGTGTACAAACTTCACTAAATTATCAAGAAGTAGACCCCACAAAATTCAGTTCTCCATTAAATTAATGCGTCAAAACTCAAAAAGCTGCACGAGCTCTGATACCTGAATGAGCTGTTCAGGTGCAGGCGTGACGTCGGCCTCTTTCCGGACAAGCCCAAAGCTGCCCTTCAGACTGGTGCTAGGAGTCTGCTGCTGGATAAGAGGCATCAAGTAGCGCAGTGTCAGTAATACACCCAGAATCAGGTGACTGGAATGCTCCTCATCCACCGGTACTACCAAACCTGACAAGACAACAGACAAAACAATTAACACACTGTTCTGAAGGGGAGAGTGTGTGCGCGCTTGTGTGTGTGTGTGTGTGTGTGTGCGCTTGTGTGTGTGTGTGTGTGTGTGTGTGTGTGTGTGTGTGTGTGTGTGTGTGTGCGTGTGTTTACAGCATACCGAGGAGCACGTTGAGGAGCCAGGTGTAGAAGTAGTGTGTTCTGCGTGAGTGTTGACACACACTGACAGCCGAGCTGGCCGCTGTTCGTCGAATAGTGGGAGAACTGGACTTCAGATTGGCGACAAAGGCCTTTAGCAGCATCTACATACACATATACAGGGGGAAAATCAGTGGTGGCACATTCAAAATCATCTAAATAAGGTCATTTAAACAGAAAATCTGATTTTAAATATATGAAATCATGATAAAAGTTTAATATATTTTATTATTTATAATGATGTCGCTGCTTTGCATATTTAAATACTTTGGTAAATATAAATGTAGAAATTTGGTAAATACAGTGGGTACTATGATACAATTTCTGGTAAATATAGAAGTTGTTGACATGAAATCCAGATTTTGGTAAAAACCCAAAGAATCCAAAGAATACAAACAAAACAATTTCAGAAAGATTTGTTATGAGTAATAACAATAGAATGAGAAAAGGAGAAAGTATTAAACTATTAAAATGTATCTAATACTTTGCAGATATATATATATATATATATATATATATATATGCTTTGGTGATGACAGCTTCAAGATGCCTCTTGTATGGAGAGTAGAGTCACATTCATTACTGGGGTATATATTTTTTTAACATACTTCAAAAGAGTCTAAAAATCTTGATGGTTCTGTGGGTCTCATCTATAAACTCTCATCTTTACTTATTTTCTATTGGATTGAGGTCAGGTCATTGGCTGGGCCATTCCAGCAGCTATATTTTTTTATTCTGTAACCAACTTGGCTGTGTTTGGGATCATTGTCTCGCTGAAATATCCACCGTGGGTTCACCTTCATCATCCTGGTACTGTAGGTGTGAAAGATTTCATAATTCTGGTAATGTAGGAACCAATAACCACATTTCCATGTGCTTTCCTTTTTACACCTCCATTTCCTCATGTGTTTAATCCTTTTCCCCAGTGTCATTTAATTTTTATTACACATAAATTAATTGCTATTCTAATTAGTTTTGTTTTTTGTGTGTGTTTGGATTTCTTTGCTTGTTACTCGCATCTGGTGAACATTTCAAGTCAGCAGAACCTTTTGCAATATATTTTGATTAAATGGTGACATGTTCAATACTTTTTTTTTTTTGTTTTTTACCAACTGCATTTATAGTTCACTTTTTTTTTTTTTACTTTTGATCAAATAAATGCAGCCTTTTCAACAAAAAACACTTTTTAAAAACAAAATTATAATTAAAAAATCTGTATAATTTTTAAACCGTAATTATAACAAATATAATAAAATAACCTTTGGCCTACATACAAACACACCACATATATTTTATTAAATTATGCCTTTTGCATTCCTAAGGTTTTTCATTTGTGGAATGAGCTCATTCATAACCGTAGCTGGATTTAAAATCATCTAGAATCACAATACTCTAGTCTTAAAAAGTGAATGTGTTCTTGGCAAGAATACAGACTCTTTCCGTCTCTTGATGCGAGGGAGAAGAGGCTCATGGATAATTAAATCCAGCCTGAGTGAGTCATGTTCCATATTGAGGAGATGATGTCACCACTGCGCATTTACGGCTTCAGATCAGACAGTCAAGATAACGGTGAGGGAAATCCCTCACTCAGGTGCCAAATCACAGAATTCAGTAGCAAGGCAATCTTATTTTCATGTCAAATACATAAGGCCATCCAGAATGACTAATGACTTTTGAATCAAGGTACATTTTATTGCAAATCGCCTGATGTGGTCTTCTGAAATGTTTTACTTTGACCAAATTTAAAATAAAGTAAACACATGATAACCTTGGGAAATGCTACTTTTTCAGCTCATACCTTAATCTCTCCATCATTGGCAAAGTGTCCGAGGGCAGCCATGATTTTAGGAATTGAAGAAGAGAGAGTTTCCTGCACAGTCTCTTCTTGACGTTTTGTGATTCGTGTCAAACATGGTAGCAGGTTCACAAGGTACGGCCTGGGAAAGGTGACAATGAGGGTTAGGATTTATTGTGTTTGCTTATCTTTACAATCAAAAGCATGTCACAGCTTAAGATCAGCATGAAACAGAAGTTGCAATGATTTTTTCTTCGCTATAGTGATGTTCTTCAGGAACTGACTTGATCAATGGAAATACAGCAGAATTGAGGCAGATTTGAATATACTCAGTTTACTCTAAAGCGACTTACCTCTGGCACCTTCACATGCTTTATTTTATTATTTATTTTTATTTGAGCCCTATGTTGCTAAAAATTTAAGAGTTCAATTGAAGGAAAATTTATTTAAACCAAACTATTTACCTGCTATGACCAAGATAAAGACAGACAACAAGACCAATGGCACATGAAAGGTAGACATTATAAAGACACATTAATATTTAAAAACATAATCAAGTGCATAGATAAATCATGTAGAATAAACACCACAATATTACATACAAATGGAATTCAACTTTAATCTAAATATGTATTTAAATTCATATACTAGTACAAAATTTGGTTTATTTCCATTTTAATGGAAAAAGTAAAAAATAAATTGCAGCTTTTTTTTTGTGTTAAACAAAATACACATAAAGAGACAGTTCACCCAAAAATGAACATATATTCCCTATCTAATGTTCCTCAAGTGTTCATTGAACACAAAATATAATATTTTATCTAGAAAATATGAAAATAGTAGGGAATAGTTTACTTAGTTTACTTACTGTGGAAGTCAATGGTTACAGGTTTTAGCATTCTTCAAAAAATTTAATTTGTGTTTGTCAGGTGAAAGAAACTCAAACAGGTTTGGAACAAGAAAAAAGTGAGTAAATGATGACAGAATAATCAGTTTTGGGTGACCTATCCCTTTAAGTCTATAAAATCTCTGAACATTTTTTGTTGTAATTACTTTGAATGAATGGGTGCGTTCAACAGAACAATAGTCCAAAACCAAAATACCTCCAAACCAAACCTTTATTTTGACACTCTGAAAATAACAGTTTCTGTTTATATACGTCATGCGTTCTCAAATTAAAATATGAAATACTTATGGAATGAACTCTGTTCTGCAACATCAAATTTAAAAAGTCTTTTCATTGTTTAAATTCAATGCAATTCAATTCAATTCACCTTTGTTTGTATAGCGCTTTCACAATGTAAATTGTGTCAAAGCAGTTTCACATAGAAGATCATAGTAAATTTAAAAGTAACAAGCACTAGTCAAGACTGCAATTTAAGAGTGAAGCCCTACTTTCAATTTATTTATCTTTAATTTGGCAAATTCCACGTTTGCAGTAAACTACATTCCTTTGTTTTGAGCTAGTCCTATGATTGTTCCCACAATGTTCCACAATAATTGGGTCCTGACCAGTCTACTAGAAGTAAGTGACCAAAAGTTGAGCATACCTGCATTTCTGTGGACGCACCAGGTGAGCAAGCTCTGCAAACCTCCACAGGGCTGCCCGCAGACTCCGAGAGGCAGCGTTCTGTTACCACACACACAGTAAAGTGATCCATTAGTGAGCTGTACATTTACTTAAAGAGCACAAGACTCATGTGCCTGTGAAGTTTATAGCATTTCCCCCAAAAAATTTTACTAAAAACAAAAACAATAATCAAACCAATCAAATAATCAAATATTGTTGCAGATAAATCGCAAATTAACAACAAAAGTGCAACAAAAATGTAACTTAAATATAAATCAGCCACACAACGTAATCCTAGAACTCCAGTTCAGTACACTGACATGCATTTACAAAAGAACTCCTAATAAATTAAACATTCATTACAAAAAGTTTATTGAGTCTGATTTACCTTTTTAATCTCTTTATACAGTTCAAGTTGTAGTCTAGGCAAGTTGGAATCCATCAATGCCTGCAAAGATAAACAAAGAAATTATATTACCATTGAACAAAACAAAAAAAAAACACCACTACAATCATCATCCAATTGAATATATGTCAGATATGTAAACTACAAATGAGTTACTTTGATGATTTTGTTGAGGCACTCATCGGCCACCATCCTGACGTCAGACTCTTTGTCATCGCTGCACAGCAAGAACATTTCCATGGCAATTCCAAGAAGTTTCTGGAACTCTGGAGACGTCCTGATAACAAATCAGTGTAATTAAATACATAGCTAACAACACTAGAAGGCTAAAATTATTGGTCACAGCTTCGAAATGAACAGTGAGTCAAAATAAATACATTACAGTATGTTTAGCAATTTAAAATCAGCTATTTTTCTAGGCCCAGAGATCCAGAATATAATTGGAGAAAATAGGGAAAGAATATTCATCTGTTTGTGGTCTTTTCCTCTGTTCATTTTTTTTTTTGCTTGTTTATTTAACAGAGACAATACACTTGACATTGTTTTACAAAGTCAACCGATGTTGTGTACATAGGGAATATAGCATAAAGCTAATTTGCAACCCTCGTCCCTGGTCTAGTACATCTAGTACATCTGTTACAATCACCCCAATTACCCTCAATCAAAAACTGACAGCTACAAGATACAAGCTGCGGCAGAAAAAGGAAATGCTACTTGAAAAACAAGGATGTGGCAGGGCTGCATGGACAGTTATGCCAAAAAGACTAAGACTAATAAAAACAAACCCATCAAGATCACCATAAACTGGATCTATCTTCTCTATGTGTATTCAGGACGTAATCAAGAATTTCAAGAAGAAATAAAACTAAAAGAAATGTTACTGGCTTTTTCATTATTTATCTAGATTTGTTTGTAGTTTATACAGTTGAAGTCAGAATAATTAGCCCCCTTCAAACTGTTTTCTTCTTTTTTAAACATTGTTTTTTTCAAATGATGTTGAACAGAGCAAGGTCATTTTCACAGTATGTCTGATAATATTTTTTCTTCTGGAGAAAGTCTTATTTGTTTTATTTCAGCTAGAATAAAAGCAGTTTTAATTTTTGTAAACACCATTTTAGGGACTAAACTATTAGCCCCTTAAAGCGATATTTTTTCACGATAATCTACAGAACAAACCATCGTTGTACAATAATTTGCCTAATTACCTTAACCTGCCTAGTTAACCTAATTAACCTAATTAAACCTTTAAATGTCACTAAGCTGTATAGAAGTGTCTTGAAAAATATCTAGTAAAATATTATTTACTGTCATCAAGGTAAAGATAAAATAAATCAGTTATTAGAAATGAGTTATTAAAACTACTATGCTTAGAAATGTGTTGAAACAATCTTCTTTCCGTTAAACAGACATTGTAAAAAAAAAAATAAACAATTGATCTAATAATTCAGGGGGGCTTATAATTCTGATTTATTAGGACTCCTGTGAATTTTTCTTTTTCAAAGATTATCCAAATGATGTTTAACAGAGCAAGGAAATTTTCACAGTATTTCCTACATTATTTTTTTTCTTCTGGAGAAAGTCTTATTTGTTTTATTTCAGCTAGAACAAAAGTGGCTTTTAACTTTTAACTCAATATATTTAGCCCCATTAAGCAATTTTTATTTCCAAATATCTACAGCTGTTGTTCCCAAAATGGAGATCACAGGACAATGACAGGGGGTTACTTTAATGATTTCCAAAAGTCAAATTAATTTTACTAAACTGTTAGAATAAATATATTTTATCCATGAGATGATATATTTTATCCATAGAAGATAAAAAATAGTAGTTAATAGTTAATAGCAACAACATGCAAATAAAAAGCCACCAGAGAATTTTTTTTCATAAGTGCTGTTTCTGCTATTGTTGGTATTTTGCCTTGAGTCTGAGAAAAAACACATCACAATTAAAATCTATTATTATTATTAATATAATTATTTTTATTATTAATGATTTGCCTAATTACTCTAACTTACCAAATTAACCTAGTTAAGCTTTTAATTGCACTTTAAGATGAATACTAGTATCTTGAAACTATCTAGTAAAATATTATTTACTGTCATCATGACAAAGATAAAAGGAATCAGTTAGTAAAAATTAGGTTTTAAAATGTGTATATACAGCCATAACAGAAATAAATGACATTGTATTTATTGTAATGTATTTATAACTAATATTACTTAACAAATGAAATGTATTTTTGTTAAAAAATAATTGCTAACAAAAATAATTGATAACAAGCTTTGGTTTTCAACATCTAATTCAACGTCCTCACAGAATAAAATGTGCAATAATTGCAAATATTTTGCCATTTTAACTTATTTCAAAGGATTCAAGCTAAAAGAAATGTTTGACAACTTGAAAGAGTTTGAGTATGTTATACTTTATTTGCTAAGTGGCCTTAATAATTTAGGATTTTCATCTCAATTCACTAAATTTGCAATGTTAGAGTTTAAAAAAAATTCCAACCTAGCCTCAGCATCAGTAGGCTTTTGTCAATGACTCATAAGACATGACCAAATCTGATTAACCTTAATCTGATGTGTTCATCCATTGACTATTGCATACCTCAGCGACTGTGCCACAATGTTTTCACATATCGTCAGGCAATGAGTCACTCTGTCCTTTTTGGTTGTAGCAAGGTCTTTTTTCCTGTAAAAAAATAATACACAGAACATTAAATAAATCACAAGATTTTCTGAATGATTTACATCTATCGAGATAAGGATGAACAGATTTAACGTGTAACTCCACAAAGCAATCAAGCTGTAAATCTGACACCGATCTGTAAGTGAGAATATTATGTTGGGCCGCAAAAGTCAGTTAGATACTCTTTATAGTGTCAGCAATACTGATTAGCTAAATCAATTAAGTTAATGTAATCTTGCTAGCGTAGCCGCGATAAACATGTCCTGCAGCACATGCTGTATAACATTACCGCTCACTGCTGATGATCTACAACATATCTGAGTTGATTTATTCCCCCTAATTAACTAAATTATGTTCAATCCATCCATCCACATGGTGCTGGAGTTGTAAATAAGGGAAATCACTCTTTTAATTGCACATAACCCCCGCTCCAATATCTTTACAGTGTATTCATATCAAGATGATAACATGGAGCTCTTGCATTGTGCTAAATATGGTTTGAAAAGTTATCAAGATTTCAAGAAAACAACAACTTTATATTAGTCTGTCACAATAATCAATATATCGACTTATCGCACAACACATGGACATGACATCATTTTTAGTGATGCAATATATATCGCCCGTACAATAAAAAATATATTTCAGCAACAATTCAGCTGATTGTGGAACATCTCCATCTCTATTGGAGGTGTCAGTATGGTTAAAAACAACACTACAGTATTTACTATAAATTACTGTATATTTTCATGTGGGTGCCTGACAACTGAAAATAGATCTGATAGCAGATATTGCAGCTTCTGTAGCTTTTTACCTTGCACTTTTTGTTACATTTATTCACAATATTATTTATTTGTTTTGTATATATTTATATTTTCACATTCTGATTCCAATGCCTAATCATTAAATTACTAAAATGACTATAATTAAATGAAATACTCTTCAGAATAAAATATGTGTTCTTTGGAAGAATGCACTTGCATCGTATTTGGACAATATTATAGTATATTGTCATTCTGGCCTTATATAATGTGTAGGCATGAGTCGATCACTGGTTTAGAAAAGTCAAGGTTTTAAAACTGTCAACATTTGCTGTTATACTGTTCTAACGGTATATTTTGTTTTGTTGTTTGTTTGGGGGTGGGGGGTTGTGTATGTGTTTTTACAGTATCAGCAACAGTATCTCCAGCAGAAAGAGACCCTCCACATTAATAGTTACTGTTCAAAAATATTTGAAATGTTTTTTATAATAAAAAATATTGTGTTCAATAGGGGGAAAAAAGTTGTTTTTACCCAGACATTTAAAAAAAAAACATATTTTAGAGAAATAATTACAATATTGTGAGATTTTTAACCAAGGTTATCATACCGTCAGAATCTTATCCCGCGCCATCCCTTATAATGAGTGACATAAAATGGTCTTAAAATGACAATAATTTCGTTAATCACACTATATTTTGGTGCAATATATCACAACAAAAATTTGATATTGTGACATGCCTACTTTAAATGAACATTTTAACATATTTCTACTTTAAATCAAATGTGAGATGCTGGCTAGACTATTCGATTTTATTTTTATTAAAACTGCAATTTCACATTATCACTCGATAAAGACTGTACTCTGACCACGAGTCATAAATCCTCAAATATTTATTCAACTTAAAATCTAGCTGGCTTTTGCATTCAATACATTTACTATTCAAAATACTGTAATTTCAAGACATTCAGCATGATTGTGCGTGGACAAATCAATAGATGAAAACTTGCTAGGATTAGGGCTGCACGTTATTGGAAAAATCTAGAATTGCGATATATATATATATATATATATATATATATATATATATATATATATATATATATATATATATATATATATATATATATATATATATATATATATATATAAATTTTTTTTTTTTTTTTTTTTACTTTGTGATGTACTGTGATAAGAATACAATTTCACCAGATGACGTAATATCTATATTTGGAAAGGATTTATCATGTTAGATTGATTGGGATGATTCTGCTTTGAGAGTGCATCTCCATAAAATCTAATAGACAATACATTTTCATTGTGGTCTGAGCTATTTGCAATGTTTTTCTGTATTTGCATGTACGTGTTTTGTCAGAAATTGATGAATTTGTGTTTACTATTTGCATCTTCATAAAATCTAATAAACAATCTATAGACTTTTGGGGTCCCCCAACACATTTTCACTGTGGGCTGTGCTATTAGCGGTACAATTGTGTATTTGCATATGTTGTTATTTTCATGCATAACAATATATAAATACAATTTTTAAAAAGATAGAACAAAAATAAAGTGTTTTATCGTTTCCTTGAGTCTAATAGTATTTAAGTACAGTAACTGAATGATAAAAACAAAAATAACTCAATAAAATAAATCATTGTTAAAGTCACAAATGGTACAATTTTTATGCCTGAATGTTTTTAAAATCATTAATCACGTGCAAACGATCAATTATATCATAAACTCAACATTACATATATCATGCGATGTGACTATTGGTAATGATCACATTGCAATACCGATGCTGAAACGATATATTGTGCAGCCCTAGCTAGGATTATCTATATTAATAATATATGTACTGTAGGATTATCCAATATAATATTTCCATAATTCATTCATTCATTTACAATATATAAAATTATCAAATAGACTACAACAGGGTATATACAGGAGTCAAAGGGTAAAATTTAATACTTTTAAGACTTTTTTTAGAATCTTTCTATTAAGACCTCATCGCCACTTTAGTTCTGAACAGGTAACATTGGTGACATTTTAAAAATATATTTACTAAATAATGATTGAAAGAAACTAATCCTAAACTAGAACATTATTCATATACTTTATTAAAATGTTAATCCAGTCAGTTTCGCCTATAGAACAGCAGAAATAATGGTGCTGCCTTGGTTACTGCACTAAGCAAAGCAGTGTGACATCCAACTTAGTAGGGTTTAATCAATTTCACAAACTACACAGCATCCCAAACTTTCAAACAACGTCTAATACTTTTTGAGACCCATTTTAGTTACAATAATTAAACATGATTTGAAATACACAAAGCAGAATAATAAATGCAAGCAAAGCGACGAAAACTTTCATGTTTAAAATAACTTTTGTGCAAATGTCCAAATTACATTGTCATTCAGAATCACACAGACAGACACACACACACACACACACACACACACACACACACACACACACACACACACACACACACAGGTAAGAATACATACACTACTATCACTTTAAGCTGTATAGAAGTGTCTTGAAAAATATCTAGTCAAATATTATTTACTGTCATCATGACAAAGATAAAATAAATCAGTTATTAGAAACGAGTTATTAAAACGATTATGTTTAGAGATGTGTTCAAAAAATCTTCTCTCTGTTAAACAGAAATTGGGGAAAAAATAAACGGGGGCTAATAATTCAGGGGGGTTAATAATTCATCAAAAATACAGTGAAAATTGTGAAATGTTACTGCACTATGAAATAACTGTTCAAAAGTAGTGTATCATTTAATTTAATAGTTTATTTCTGTGATATTAAAGATGAATTTTCAGCTTCATTACTCCAATAGTCCCATAATCAATCAGAAATCACTCTAATATTAATTATTATTGTAAAAAGCAATAATTACTGGAGTGATAACTTCATTTAATAAACTTCAAGTAATAAATAAATATTTAAATAAGTGTTTACATTTTTTTTTTACATTTGATGATGAACAGAATAATTTTATTAAAAAAAATAAAAACATAAAAAGAACCCCAAAGTCTATATGTAAAAAACCGGTAATGTACATATAGACGTACATGTATAATAGTGGTTCAAATATCTGTCCTTAACACAGTGCATGACCAAAATATAAATATACATTATATTTTTGGGAATGCTCTGCGAACCTTAAATATTATACTTTAATATGGCATCAAAGTAAACATGCCAAAGCAGATATTTATGAGATGTTTATGAGTAAAGGGAAGGCACAATGACACATCTTACATTTTCAATATTTGGATACTAAAGACTATTTTTGAGTGTGTGTTTGAGCTGTACGTCATATATGACAGTATTGTTTATCTAATGATGTTTAGTGACAGACGAAGACAAGCAGTTGTGGGAAGTCAGAATAAAAATTCAGAAGATGGCAGCATTCAAACACAAATAAACAGATTCATTCAGTGTAATTGTTTTACACCACAACACTCTTGGACATCAGAAGTCCTGAAGCCAGTTCTTGAGGAGTGCGCAGTGTCTGATCTCAGCACTGACGCAGAATCTAACAAGGCTCTGTGACACATCTATGGTGTTGAGCATCATGTGATTAAAAACCCAAGACAACAACAACAATAGTCAGCCTTATGAAAAGACAACACTGCACTTATGCATGTTGTGATAATAACATTAGCATGGCCACGGTGTCAAGTGATGTCAGCGCCCTAATTATGAAGATGATGATCATGATGATGAAGCAGAGGGCTATTACTGCAACAAAGCGTTAAACAGCATTAACATCAGTTCAGCACTCACTGTTTCTGGACGAGCTCCTCGGCCGACAGCGGGCCTTGCTGCTGCTGGAATGATTTTAGCGACTCAAACGCTTTCATTAGCTTCTCCATGGTGGCCATTTTAACAGAAGCTGTGATGAAGATATAATCTGATCGGAGATAGGGTAATATTTACAAACTGAAAACGACAGCCAGTGTCACAGACTGGTAACGAGCGCTGTGCAGAATGCCGAAGGGAAACTGACGGTGTCGTCGAGACGGACACCCCCTCACGGAGGACAAAAGCCCTTCAAGTCCGGTCTAATTTCCGCACACCATCCGATTAGGACCATTGTTCAAACAATATGCTCTGAAGGTAGTTGATAGCACGTCCAGTTCCGAAAGCCATCTTAAAGCTGGGTTAGGAGAGCAACTGTTCTGCTGTATTTCCGGGTTAATAAAACTCCTGTCAAAATTGAAGTCCTCTAATTCATAATAAAATCAATGGCGAATGTCTGCATCTACAGCTTGCTTAGCTTGATTGTGATGCAAGTCTTCCGCCAGACCGACTGATAATGTTCTTGATCAATTACTAAACTTTTTTTTGTGTTTGTTTTGATAATTTAAAATTTGATGTAATATTTCTGACGAAACGAACATGTGTTATTGTTGTGTATACAAATATATTGGCAAATATACCCTATTGTACGTGTAAAAAGGACAGCTAGTTTCTGGAAAATTAATACACTTTATACATTTACTGTAATTGTGAAGACATCTAAACAAGCAAAACAAACAAATTAAATAAAACTATAGGTTGCTTTAACACAGATTATATTGTTTTTAAATCACACAAAATACATATTCTAATAATATTAAATTAATGGCTGGTAATTATAAATGTTATGTCAGATTTAAATATGTGCAACCATGTGGATCAGGGGTGCCCAAACTGGTTCATATGAAGGGCCAAAAACCAAATATCATTGAGAGCTGTGGGCCAAAGGTAAATACCCAACTATATTACATTAAAGTTGGCATGGGTAATTTCCTAACTTATTTCACTTTATTTTAAAATAAATAAAACAATTCTTTAAATTCTATTAATTATTATATTATAATTTTTATTATTTTATTAGTAGTATTATTATTAATTATTATCTTAATTGTATTGATGCAGTTATAACTTTTTTAATGATAACTTATTGTAATAACAAACAAACAATCGCATTTATAACACAGTGGAGTTCAAAAATAACTTTTAAAAATAAGACAAACAAACAAACAAAGGGTTGCATTAAATTTGAATGGACAATCTCAAAAGCATCCCATCATGTTTCCTCTATTCTCAGATGGGATGGTAGGTCAAATCAAAGATTACCATGGGCCAACTTTGGCCCGCGAGCATCTCGAGTATTGATCAACATGAAATGTACTGTCACATACTTTAAAAAGTGCATCTTTTATAACCTGATTATTGAACTTTCTACACTGTAAAATAACGCTGTAATATATTACTTTTTAAAGAATGTTCATATATCATCTAAAAACTTGACATTGTGAATGTCTTTAGAATTTTCAGAAATCAAATTTTTACAACTATATTAGAGAACATTACAGAAAATGGAAGCAAAAAAGCAATTAATTAATTAATTGAAATTAGATCAATTCATTTGTCTGCTAATTCATATTTCTCAGCCACAAGCAATGGTAAGGCGATTCAAATAAAATAAACATTTAATATTCATATTCACAAATGTTATAATGTTTAAATTCTTCACACTGAATGTAATTCCAATTTTTTAGGCTTGGCTGCTCAGGCCTAATCTCCACACAAACTTCAGATCCATCCACACTATAAGGCTTGCTTGTTATCCAGTACCTGAAAAAAAACAATTTCAAATTGGATAAATATATACTGCATATACACTGTAAATAAACATTTTTTTTTTAACTTTGGAGAAATATTTGCTCTTTCAAAAACAAAACATAGTATTTTTTTTCTCACTCTAGGATCGGTTCAGTGTTATCCACCCATTTCCACACTCCCTCAGTGGCATTCCCAGTGAGGCCAATCCATACATGACTCATTTGAAGATTAGTCACAAATTCCTGTAGCAACCCACATGTGATAGTGGGTGAAGAGAAATAAATGCCATAATCCTAAATTTGGATTCAATTTTTAATTTTTTTATTTGAATCTCGGTAATAAGCCGATTTGTTTAATAAAGATTATTGTTATTTTGCAGCCACACTCACCTGCTCATCTGGACTGTTTATGATCTCCAATCTCAGCACAGCTGTGTCTGCTCACATTCCATGACAGCATCACAGCAGAGGCACAATAAAGATGCGAGGAAAAGTTGCTCCATCCTGCCATACATCCTTAGAAGAGTACATGTGTTACATTCAATTGTTGAGCCACTAGCTTGTTATCACAACAGAATAAAAAAGACAAATATAATAATAAAAATCAAGACATTATCAATCAATTAAAAACAAACTCATTATTTGCCATTTTCTTTTCAGTTGTGTTTCCTCAAAAATAAAAAGAGTCTATAAATACGAAATACATGTCATAATTTTTAAATGTATGCCTTATAAATTGTGCCATGAATTGAGAACTGCAAGAAAAAAAAAGGAATTGAAAGACAAAAACCCCTATGGGGAGAATGGGCTTACAAAGAGCTGTAATTTGTTTGTATACATTACATAATGTTAAAATAAATAAATGAATAAATAAATAAATAAATAAATAAATAAATAAATAAATAAAATATATAAAAGTCATCATGCAACCAGAACTGACATTTTAGTTCCTTAGAACAAAAAAAATAATAAATCCTGAATTTTTAATGGTATTTGTTACTTTTATCATGTGTTCTGCTCTCGATCTTTAATTTAAAAAATCTTCATTTTCACCGATATCTAATGGTGGCCAGACTAACTGCCCCTCACTTGTTTTCAGCCAATAGAAAACAACAACAACAACAACATCATCTAATGATCCAATCAATTCGTGAAGGACAAAATCAAAGACCACCCGACATTTGTTTTTGTTCATTTGGTTTCATTTGGATAGAGTTGCTGTCAAAATGATTAGCTCTCCTGTGATTTTTTTCTTTTTCAAATATTTCCAAATGATGTTTTTACAGAGCAAGGAAAGTTTCACAGTATTTTCTATAATATTTTTTTCTTCTGGAGACATTTCTTATTTGTCTTAAATTATAAGTCTTATTTGTTTAAATTTGGCTAGAATAAAAGCATTTTTTAATAAAAAAAAAATATAAAAAACATTTTAGGGTCAATATTAAACCCCTTAAGCAATATTTTTTAACTGTCCTCATAACAAGTCATCTTTATACAATGACTTGCCTAACTACTCTAATTTGTTTAATTAATAACCAAGTTAAGCCTTTAAATTGCACTTTAAGCTCAATAGTATCTTGAAAAAATCTAGTAAAATATTATGTACTGTCATTATGACAAAGATTATAGAAATCAGTTATTAAAATGAATTATTAAAACTATTGTGTTTAGAAATGTGTTAAAAAATTAAAACATTTGGGAAAAAAATATACAGGGGCTAATTATTCAGGAGAGCTAATAATTCTTACTTCAACTGTTTGTATGTTAATAAATGGAAGAATAAACTATTTTAACTTACGCCCAACTTAAAAAAAAAAAAAAAAACATTTTTCAAAGAAGAAAAACAATGCCTAACAAAACAAAACAAACATGCTCAATGAATACAGTACCTACCAAATGGAAGAAGTTTTTCTAAAGTCTGTGATTTTTGGATTTGGACTGGTTCGCTAGCCAGAAGTTGATCTCTCTCTATAGTGAGATTGTAGTAACGTCTGTTCAGGTAGTCCTGATCATCAATACAGCGCTCATAGTTGGTCTTCAACTGGACAGTGTCTCTTCTGTGCTCGAACATTACAACTATGAGACCACTTAACAGGATGCCAAACAGAAATGCCAAGAGCACAATCATCACTTTGTAAAGTTTTGGTGAGCCTAAATGGAAAAAAAGGCAAACATTACAACACCAATAAAGCAATATGATATTTGATATTTAATCAGTCCCTCCAGAATTGTGAGAGTCCAGTGGCTGATGAGATAATAAAAAAAATCTAAATTGACAGATTTTTCTTTATTTTCACAGCAAAACACAAGTACAGTATTGAACCAAATAATGCTGTAAAATCTTTAAGAAAATCCATCACAAAACTCTTTTAGGCTACAAAATATAAAAAAGTCTCTGCAAAATCCTGGAGAGACTGTTAAGTACTGCTTAATTAATGTGTTGTAGCTTACCTGGTTCCTGGGAGTCAGTTTGGTTGATCTGAGATTTTGTAATCCCGCCGGTTAATTCTTGATTGTATGTGGTCACAGATGTGTGACTACAGTTGACCTTCGCTCCGTTCATTTCAATCTCAAATTTTTAACACAATTCAATCCTACCTGTGTAATTAAACAGCCCATATTACACTTTCATAACTTAAAAAGCACCATGTTAGCTATATGATAACATTATTCTCCATCATGTCCTTAAATGATGGAAATATTGAACAATGAGCGGGATGAGGGTTTAAAATGATTTCAGAATGACTCAACAGTTCATTTCAGAATGACAAAATATACAAACTCATTTGGTGAGGCTATGCTTACCGTAACACTTCATAACAAAACAAAGTATAATAATGACATAACAAATACTCACTGTGTGATTCTCTGACAGGATCTGCTATGCTACAGTAGACTTCCCTTTTTAAGATTCCCAAATCTACTGGAAATATATCATCACTTACTTCTTTAAACGATTAATGTGGAAACTGTGGCTTGCTTCTTCACACACTAAACCAAAACACCACTATAAATGTTTCATTAACTGTACCCATTATTCCAGTGGTTCTTAACACTGTTTTGCATATCACATTAACCAAACACACATGATTCAACTCATCACCTCATTAACAGAGACTTTGTGATCTGCAATGGTTGTGTGAGACAAACGAGGCATGTTAAATGTGCAGTCCTGGGGGGCTACAGGAAGAACCACTGCAATAATACTTAAACACCAAATTAACTATTTAGAAACTATTATGAAGTAAATGCAATATGAACAACAAGTGGTTTAGACATATCCTTTATGCAAAACTATGCTTGTACTCTGTGAAAATATCTATGAATTGTTCAGCATTTATTTATGCTTTTGAATTGCATTAATTAATTTCTTCCAACAAATTTTAACCTTAAAAAGGTGACTTTCATTAACATTTTTAATAGTTTAAAGTGATATATTATTGTGGTTGGGATTTGTACAAACCTTGTAATAAACTTTCTGTTATTTTACAGACTTCTTTCTTCATTTCATTCATTCATTTTATTTTCAGCTTCCGCCCTTTATTATTCTGGGGCTGCCAAAGCTGCAACCTATCACTAGGAAACACCCATACACACTCAATCACACAT